CCGTAGAGGGAGCATCATAGAGGGAGGCTCCGTAGAGGGAGCACCGTAGAGGGAGGCTCCGTAGAGGGAGCACCGTAGAGGGGGCACCGTAGAGGGAGGCTCCGTACAGGGAGGCACCGTAGAGGGAGGCACCGTAGAGGGAGGCTTCGTAGAGGGAGCATCATAGAGGGAGGCTCCGTAGAGGGAGCACCGTAGAGGGAGGCTCCGTAGAGGGAGCACCGTAGAGGGAGGCTCCGTACAGGGAGCACCGTAGAGGGAGGCACCGTAGAGGGAGGCACCGTAGAGGGAGGCACCGTAGAGGGAGGCTCTGTACAGGGAGGCTCCGTACAGGGAGGCACCGTAGAGGGAGGCTCCGTAGAGGGAGCACCGTAGAGGGAGGCTCCGTAGAGGGAGGCACCGTAGAGGGAGGCTCCGTAGAGGGAGGCACCGTAGAGGGAGCATCATAGAGGGAGGCTCCGTAGAGGGAGCACCGTAGAGGGAGGCTCCGTAGAGGGAGGCACCGTAGAGGGAGCATCATAGAGGGAGGCTCCGTAGAGGGAGCACCGTAGAGGGAGGCTCCGTAGAGGGAGCACCGTAGAGGGAGGCTCCGTACAGGGAGGCACCGTAGAGGGAGGCTCCGTACAGGGAGGCTCCGTAGAGGGAGGCACCGTAGAGGGAGGCTCCGTAGAGGGAGCACCGTAGAGGGGGCACCGTAGAGGGAGGCTCCGTACAGGGAGGCACCGTAGAGGGAGGCTCCGTAGAGGGAGCATCATAGAGGGAGGCTCCGTAGAGGGAGCACCGTAGAGGGAGGCTCCGTAGAGGGAGCACCGTAGAGGGAGGCTCCGTACAGGGAGCACCGTAGAGGGAGGCACCGTAGAGGGAGGCTCCGTAGAGGGAGCATCATAGAGGGAGGCTCCGTAGAGGGAGCACCGTAGAGGGAGGCTCCGTAGAGGGAGCACCGTAGAGGGGGCACCGTAGAGGGAGGCTCCGTACAGGGAGGCACCGTAGAGGGAGGCACCGTAGAGGGAGGCTCCGTAGAGGGAGCATCATAGAGGGAGGCTCCGTAGAGGGAGCACCGTAGAGGGAGGCTCCGTAGAGGGAGCACCGTAGAGGGAGGCTCCGTACAGGGAGCACCGTAGAGGGAGGCACCGTAGAGGGAGGCTCCGTACAGGGAGGCACCGTAGAGGGAGGCACCGTAGAGGGAGGCTCCGTACAGGGAGGCACCGTAGAGGGAGGCACTGTAGAGGGAGCACTGTAGAGGGAGCACCGTAGAGGGAGGCTCCGTAGAAGGAGGCCCGCAGCCTTCGCATGCAGTAGGTGGCACCACCTCCCCCGGCTTGCGTGCTGTGACGTTTGCAATACGATATGGTCTCACCATGCGTGTCTCAGAACGTATCTCTCATTACGTGGTGCGTGACTATTTGTTTTTGCAAAATTTATATTATGTTATTTATCCAATTAAGTTTGACATCCTGGCCGGGCATGGTGGCTCACACCTGTAATCCCAGCACTGTGGGAGGCCAAGATGGGCAGATCACAAGGTCAGGAGTTCGAGACCATCCTGGCTAACGTGGTGAAACCCTGTCTTTACTAAAAATACAACAAATGACCCAGGCGTGGTGGCTGCACCTGTAGTCCCTGGTACGTGGTAGGCTGAGGCGGGAGAGTTGCTTGAGTGCAGAGGCAGATGTTGCAGTGAGCCGAGATTGTGCCACTGCACTCCATCCTCACAACAGAGTGAGACTCTGTGTTCAAACAAACAAACAAAAGTAACAACAAAAACGAGTGACATCTTGAGCAATTTTCTGTTTTTTCCTTTTTTTTTTTTTGAGACGGAGTTTCGCTCTTGTTACCCAGGCTGGAGTGCAATGGCGCGATCTCGGCTCACCGCAACCTCCGCCTCCTGGGTTCAGGCAATTCTCCTGCCTCAGCCTCCTGAGTAGCTGGGATTACAGGCATGTGCCACCATGCCCAGCTAATTTTTTGTAATTTTTAGTAGAGACGGGGTTTCACCATGTTGACCAGGATGGTCTCGATCTGCCAACCTCGTGATCCACCCGCCTCGGCCTCCCAAAGTGCTGGGATTACAGGCTTGAGCCACCGCGCCCGGCCTGTTTTTTTCTTTTTGAGACAGGTCTCTTTGTCACCCAGGCTGGAGTGCAGTGCTGCGATCTTGGCTCACTGCAGCCTCGAGCCCTTGGGGCCAAGCAGTCTTCCCACCACAGTCTCCGAGTAGCTGGGACTACAGGTGCACGCCACCACGCCTGGATAACCTTTGGTATTTTTCGTAGAGACAGGGTTTCACCATGTTGCCCAGGCTGGTCTCAAACTCCTGAGCTCAAGCTATCCACCTGCCTCTTCCTTCCAAAGTGCTGGGAATACAGATGTGAGCCATTGTGCCCAGCCTCAGTTTTCCATGTCACTAAAATCTATTTGAAAATGGAACTGGGAGGAGCCTGTCAGGGTCAGGGGCAGAGGGAGCTGGGCCCTCGGGCCACCCTCCTTGATGAAGCAGCTCCGGCCCTTTGCTGTGGGTCTCTGAGCATCCACAGAGCAGCTGCTGGACTAGCCCAGGAGGATGGTCTCAGGGTTAGCAGGGGCAGAAGTGGGAATGGCCACAGTCCAGGGCAGTGACCTGCCAGCCGGCATTACCCCAGGGGAGTGCCCAGCTCAGGGGTGACGGCGCCTTGCTAGGAGGACACATGCTCCAAGGAGCACTGCCAGGAGGAGAGGAATGCGCAGCCCGGAGCGTGGGGCCTGGGACTTCCAGGGCCTGTGGAAATCAAAGCAGTGCTCACATAAAGGTCGACGACAGGCTGACGGGAGTGGGGGCTACTCAGCAACCCCACCCCAGCCGGTGGCAAGGATCCTGGCAAAAGCATCTTTGATAAGAGGCCCTGGTCCTTTCTGCCTTCCCGTCTGAAGGAGGGAAGTGAGCAGGGTTTTCTTGGGAGAAAAAGGTCCCGGACCTCTCTGACCCCACTGAGGTGGGTGTGAGCAGGTAGAGCACTGCCTGAGCCCCACCCCAATTCCTTCAGGAGCCCGGCCCAGCAGCCCCTCCCCACTGAGCTCATTTTATTGGGATGCCCAGCAAAGGCTCAGCCTTTCCAAACAGGGTCCCTGGCATCGGCTCCTGTGCGTTGGGCAGCCTCCTTGGTCCCCCACAGACGCTAGTCCCTGGACACCTGGCATCGGCTCCTGTGCGTTGGGCAGCCTCCTTGGTCCCCCACAGACGCTAGTCCCTGGACACCTGGCATCGGCTCCTGTGCGTTGGGCAGCCTCCTCGGTCCCCCACAGACGCTAGTCCCTGGACACCTGGCATTGGCTCCCGTGCGTTGGGCAGCCTCCTTGGTCCCCCACAGACGCTAGTCCCTGGACATTGGCTCCTGTGCGTTGGGCAGCCTCCTTGGTCCCCCACAGACGCTAGTCCCTGGACATTGGCTCCTGTGCGTTGGGCAGCCTCCTTGGTCCCCCACAGACGCTAGTCCCTGGACATTGGCTCCTGTGCGTTGGGCAGCCTCCTTGGTCCCCCACAGATGCTAGTCCCTGGACACCTGGCATCGGCTCCTGTGCGTTGGGCAGCCTCCTTGGTCCCCCACAGATGCTAGTCCCTGGACACCTGGCATTGGCTCCTGTGCGTTGGGCAGCCTCCTTGGTCCCCCACAGACGCTAGTCCTTGGACACCTGGCATTGGCTCCTGTGCGTTGGGCAGCCTCCTTGGTCCCCCACAGACGCTAGTCCCTGGACACCTGGCATTGGCTCCTGTGCGTTGGGCAGCCTCCTTGGTCCCCCACAGACGCTAGTCCCTGGACATTGGCTCCTGTGCGTTGGGCAGCCTCCTTGGTCCCCCACAGACGCTAGTCCCTGGACACCTGGCATTGGCTCCTGTGCGTTGGGCAGCCTCCTTGGTCCCCCACAGGCGCTAGTCCCTGGACACCTGGCATTGGCTCCTGTGCGTTGGGCAGCCTCCTTGGTCCCCCACAGACGCTAGTCCCTGGACACCTGGCATTGGCTCCTGTGCGTTGGGCAGCCTCCTTGGTCCCCCACAGACGCTAGTCCCTGGACACCTGGCATTGGCTCCTGTGCTTTGGGCAGCCTCCTTGGTCCCCCACAGACGCTAGTCCCTGGACACCTGGCATCAGCTCCTGTGCGTTGGGCAGCCTCCTTGGTCCCCCACAGACGCTAGTCCCTGGACACCTGGCATTGGCTCCCGTGCATTGGGCAGCCTCCTTGGTCCCCCACAGACGCTAGTCCCTGGACATTGGCTCCTGTGCGTTGGGCAGCCTCCTTGGTCCCCCACAGACGCTAGTCCCTAGACATTGGCTCCTGTGCGTTGGGCAGCCTCCTTGGTCCCCCACAGACGCTAGTCCCTGGACATTGGCTCCTGTGCGTTGGGCAGCCTCCTTGGTCCCCCACAGATGCTAGTCCCTGGACACCTGGCATCGGCTCCTGTGCGTTGGGCAGCCTCCTTGGTCCCCCACAGACGCTAGTCCCTGGACACCTGGCATTGGCTCCTGTGCGTTGGGCAGCCTCCTTGGTCCCCCACAGACGCTAGTCCCTGGACACCTGGCATTGGCTCCTGTGCGTTGGGCAGCCTCCTTGGTCCCCCACAGACGCTAGTCCCTGGACATTGGCTCCTGCTGAGTGACCGTCTTCACACACTGCTTTGCTGCTGCTGAGGTCTTGGGTGGGTGGATGGGTAGGATCTGCCTGGGCAGCTTTGCATGGACAACAAGCATGCCTGGGCCCAGGAGCGCTGTGGATACTCCTCCCTGTCCATCTCAGTCCCTCATGGCCTCGCCTGGCACTGGCTTCCCAGCATAGCCCAGTGCCCTCTCCTCGTGGCCCGTTCGTGAAAGCTCGCTCACGTTCCTCCTGTCTGTCATCTGTCCACCAGATGCCCCTGTCCTGTGGCTCCCCTGCTGTCACTGGGAGCCCTTCAGAAACCCTAGGCCACTCACCAGGGCACCGGGGCCCCTTCCCATCATGGAGCTTTCTAGAACTGTTGCTCCGGCCTGCAGGTGATGCAGCACCCGTCAGAGGGCGGCCAGGTGCTGAGCCTCTGCAGCAGCATCAAGGAGGCCCCCATCAAGGCGGCCGAGATCTGGATCGCCTCCCTGTCCAGCCAGCCCATTGACCACGAGGACAGCGCCATGCAGGCTGGCCCCAAGGCCAAGTCCACAGGTGAGTGCGGCTGCAGACCACTCCTGCCCCTGCTGTGGGGAGGCCGTTCCTGGCCACAGCACACTGGACAGCAGAATGTCCAGCCTGGCCAAAGGAGGGGGGGGTCCAGAGCATGCATCGGCCACTTTCCCGTCTGGAAGCCACAGCAGAGGCGTACGCTGTTGGGGGGCCTGGGCTGCCACAGGTCCCTGCTCTGCCCCTTGGTCAAGAGGTCGGAGCCCGGAGTGTCTGTGGAAAGGAGGTGTGAGGTCTCACTGTGATGCCTTTGCTTTGTCCGGGTGCAGGCCCCAGCATGGGCCGAGGTTGCCACCATCCCAGTGGGGTCACCAGCACGTCCCCCACTCCTGAGGCAGGGGGCACCCAGTTGGTGAAAATCCAGGCTGAAATGCTAGACTGGCAGCAGGGCCGTGTGGGCCGAAGCAGCTTGTGTGGCCCCCCTTGCCCTCCCTGCCTCCCCTTTTTGCCAGCCCGGGCGTGGTCTGTTGCCGGTGGACTGTGGGGGCTTGGGGTCATGGCACCTGTGTCCAGAGCCTCTCTGTCCTGCGTGGATCCACCTCCTCGCTGCCCAACTCTGTGTCCAGGGAAGCCTGGGGGTGGTCACCGCCTGGTTTCACAGGTGGAATCTCAGCACTCTCCTTTCTGTCTGCTCATTCCACAGATAACTACTCGGAGGAGGAGTACGAGAGCTTCTCCTCTGAGCAGGAGGCCAGCGACGACGCCGTGCAGGGGCAGGTGACCTGGCGCCGGGGCTCCTCGCCCTCTCCCAGCTCACACCGGGTGTCCTGGGGTCTGTAGGGTCCTCACCAGCTGTCACCAGGGTTGTGAGGTGGGCAGGGGTGGGTGAGCCACAGGCCTGGCCCCTGGTTGGCCGCCCACCTCCCATCTCCTGACCCCGGGAGCTGGAGTTTGTGCGAAGGTGGCTCTGAAGGCCTTGGGACGAAAATCGGCTCTCAGTGATGGGCCTCTCCCACCGCCCACACTGAGGCTGGCAGGGACCTCCTGGCACCACGCAGGCTGCCACGGCCTCAGCCACTGTGTGTGTTTCTGCAGGACTTGGACGAGGACGACTTTGACGTGGGGAAGCCTAAGAAGCAGCGGAGATCGATTGTAAGAACGACGTCCATGACCAGGGTGGGTGGAGATTGGCTCTATGAATGTTGGGCAAGGCGGGGGCGGGGAGGATGCGGGGAGCCCGGGTGTGGTGGGGATGTGGGCGTGGTGGGACGTGGGTGTGGGGGTGGGTGGGCGTGGTGGGACGTGGGCGTGGGGGGGGCGGGTGTGGTGGGGTCGCAGGTGTGGGAAGTGAGATCTCACCCCAGGTCATAGCAGCATGTCCTGTGGTGGACTTCCTGACTACCCCTGCTGGGTGCCACTGTCTCCCACACCCTGCCACATCTCCTGGCTCCAGCCTCATGTGGTCACCAGGATCGGGGCGCTGAATGAGTCTGAGTGGCTGCTTGGCTGCCGGGCTCATTCCACGTGTGGAGCCCCGGGGATGCCATCCTCCCCTCTAGCCTGTCAGGTGCCCACATACACCTGAGTGTGCTGGTTCCCCTGTTTTCATTTGGGATCTGGCCTACCTGGCACCACAGCCCCCAGGAGCTTGATGAGGCTGTTGGGCATTTTTTCCCTGAGGAAATCTTGGGCAGATCTTTCCTCAGAGGCCACACCTGGCACTGGTGCCTGGAGTCCCTTAGAGAGTGCACAGTGCTGGGAGGCCAGTGCAGGCAGCTGGGAGCCTTGTGCCTGGTGCTAACAAGGGATGTGGCACAGCCCAGCCCCTGGGCACCACCGCCTCCTCTGGCGGTGTTCAAGGGGAGTTGTGGGCAGACAGTGCTGGGGACAGGCGAGCTGCTCCCGAAGTGGCGAAGCTGTGTCTTTCTGGCCTGGAGAGCGGCCCCCCACTGGGCAGCCCCCCGCTGGGCAGAGCACCAGTTTGACCCTGCATTCCAGGGCCTCCTTGGACCCACCTGCTGTAGGGAGGGAGGGTGTAGGCTGCCTTTGTAGGGTTGGTCCCTGAGAGGGTGGGTAAGGCTCCCGCTCGCCCAGTGGTTGGAGCTGAGGTTCTGCAGCCCAGGGTGGTACGAGATGCCCACAGGGCTCCCCTTCGAGCATGTGCCACCCCAGGCTCGCCCACCTGCCCACCCCACATGGATGCCCAGCACCTGCCTTCTGGAGTTGGCCAGGGCCTCTCCTGGAGGGTGAGGGAAGGGCCCAATGAGCCTGGGAAGGGCTGCAGAGGCTTCTGGAAGAATCATGGAGTCCACACACCTCCCCAGGTCCCCCTTGGCCAGGTCTGGAACTGTCAGACCTCAGGTCTGTTGGGATGCTTCTGGGAGCTACGTGCAAATCCACTGCTGGTGCTGAGGCCTTGCTGCCTCCCACTGCGGGCCGGGGTGGCCTCCCTGCGGCCTTCCTGTGGCCTGAGAAAGTGGCTCCTGCTCAGGTCTGTGGGTCTGACTCTGCGTTGCTTGTCTTGCAGCAGCAAAACTTCAAGCAGAAAGTGGTGGCGCTTCTGCGGAGGTTCAAAGTGTCGGACGAGGTGAGTGTGCTCTGCTCGCAGCCTCCGCCCCGGCAGGGCCTGGTGCAACAGGGTTTCCTCTTGAGCTCCTGGCCTCAAGTGATCATCCTCCTGCCTCAGCCTCCCAAAGTGCGACGATGATAGGTGTTAGCCACCACACCCCGCCTTTGTTGTTTCTTTAATGTCAGAAGAAAACTGTGCCTGGGTTCAGGACCCACAGTGGAGAGGGCATTGAAAGGTTTCAGCCCTGGAGCAGTGTTGTCACCCGCCGTCCTGACAGCATGGTGCCTGTAGATGGCGCCGTGTCCTCTCACACTAGGGATGCTCAGGTGCGCGGCCCCCGGTGCATGTGCTGAAGCAGGTGCTTGTGGCCGCGGGCAGGCAGCGTTTCTGGAAACACTGTAGCATCACCAACTGGCTGCAGGGGAAGCACAGCCCCGCCACTGGGGTGGTCATCAGGCCCCTGCGTCTTGGTTTGCATCTTGGATTGGAGCGTACCCAAGCCCAGCTGAAGATGGGACTTACCTGCTGAGAGCCTCTAGGTTCAGGGCTGGCTGCTGTTGGTTGTCTTGACCGTGGGGTTCTGCACTCACCTGGGCAACTGAGCTGAGTCTCAGAATGCATTTCACTTGCACAGACGCTGGTTCTGAGACTCACAACCCGAACCGTGAAACGATGGGCCAGCGCCACAGACACTGTTCTGGGAGAGGACGTCGTTTTCACAGGAATCATTGTGCAGTTCTGTGTAGACTTCACACAGGTCAACACAGTGCTTTAATGGAGCAGTGGGATCTCTCACTTCCACCCATCACTCCCTTTCCTGCAGAGGCCAGACCATCCCCACTGCAGCTCTGAACCTGTGTCTCGGCCACTGGGAGCACCACACCTGGCACTGTCCCTGCCCAGGACTTTCAGCAACCCTCAGGGGCAGGAGAGGTACACTGAGGGGAGGTCACCTGCCTGGGTCACAGCTCTCCGAGATTGTCACAAAATACCTTCGTCTGAAATTTATAAACAACCAAAACGTATTGCTCACAGTTCTGGAGGCTGCAAGGATGAGACCACGGTGCCCGCAGATTTGGCGTCTGAGGGCCCGCTTCCCAGAGAGGGTACCTTCTGTGTCCTTGTGTGGCAGAGGGGGCTGACAAGTTCCCTAAGCCTCTCTCGCCAGGGCCTGAGCCCTGCCCACCTGCCAAAGACCCCACCTCCTAATTCTAGCACCTTGCTGGTCAGGTTTCAGCGCAGGAATTTGGGAGGCAAAAATGTTCACAGCCCCCAGGCTGACCACAGAGTACCCACATGCAGGCTGCCTTGTGCCCAGGTGCCACACAGTGTGTCTGGTGAGGAGGAAAGCAGGGCTCTGCTCGGGACCCGTCCTGTGAGGATGAACTGGAGTGAGGTCTGTTCCCTGCAGCCCTCAGCTTCAGCTCCCAGTGAAAGCTTCTGCTAAGGGCTGCCTGTTGCATTTTTCACCGTAAAAGGTGGCATACCTGGATAGTCAGTTGATTTTCAACAAGGGTGCCAAGTTTATTGGAGAAAGTATCTTTTCACAAAAAACTGAGGCTTGACGGGGGACACCATGTGCAGAATTCAGCTTGACTGGATCGTTTTCCTAAATGTAGAAGCCTAAAACATAAATTGTGTAGATTCTAACCCTTAAAACACATGAGCTTAAATCCTGGAAAAGTTCCAGAAAAACACACAGGAAAAATATTTGTGCGCTTGAATTAAGATTTGTAGGACTCAAAAGCATGTACATAAAACAGAAACTTGGTACATTGGACTCTATGAAAACTAATAACCGTGAAATAAGCCCCCAGACACAAAGGACAAATACTACATACACCCACGTAGATGAGGGCCCTAGAGTTGGCAAATTCATAGAGGCAGAAAGGAGAACAGCCAGCGGGCACCAGAGGCTGCGGAGGAGGGTGGGGAGAGAGGCTTTCATGGAGGCAGAGTTGCGGTTTGGGAAGCTGGAAAGAGTCCTCGAGATGGGCAACCGTCAATGCACTAACACCACTGAACCGCCCACCCAAGAACAGATCCAGTCCTGAATACTGTGTTTTTTTATATTTTAGCACAATAAAAAAGCAGAAATTTGCTTTCTGAAAGAAACTGTTAAAAGAATGAAAAGACAGGTTGACAGAAAATATTTGCAAATCACATGCCTGGTAGAGATTTGTATCCGATAAATATATTAAAAACTCTCGAGACCCAGTAAGAAAGCAACCTGATTTTAAAATCAGTAAGACTCGTACAGTGGAACTGTGAACCATTTTGTAAAGAAAGAAGATATAAAGAAGTGGAAAGATGTCCTGCGTTCACGGATTGGAACACATTCAACACGGTGCCTATCAGATTACCAGCTGTGTTTTTGTAGAAACTGACCAGCCAAAATTTCTATGTAAATGCAAGGGACGCAGAGGAGACAGAATAGTCTTGAAGAATGAAGATTTACACTTCCCAGTTTCAAAACCTACTACAAAACCACAGTTGTACTCCAGACCGTGGGGCTGACCCAGCAGCGGCATGGAGACAGGCGATTGTCCAGAAGTGAACCCTTCCATTTGTGGGCAAGTGATGGTGAACAAGGATGTCGGGATAGCCACAGAGGAAGAATAGGCTTCACAAAAGGGTGCTGAGACCACTGGACATCCACATGCAAAGAGGGAATTTCAGCCAGCGGTGGCGGCTCGCACCTGTGATCTCAGCACTCTGGGAGGCCGAGGCAGGCAGATTGCATGGGTCCACATAGTGAAACCCCATCTCTACTAAAAATACAAAAAATTGGCTGGGCATGGTGCTATGTGCCTGTAATTCCAGCTACTCAAAAGGCTGACGTGGGAGAATCACCTGAGATGGAAGCTGCAGTGAGCTGAGCTCACACCATTGTACTCCAGCCTGAGCAACCAGAGTGAGACCCTGTCTTAAAATAAAAAACAAAAAAAGCAAAAAAAAAAAAAAAATTGGATCCCTGCCTCACACCATATTCAATAGTTAACTTGAAGTGGATTGGCCAAGTGCAGTGGCTCATGCCTGTAATCGCAGAACTTTGGGTGGCCAAGGTGGGCAGATCACTTGAGGTCAGGAGTTTTGAGACCAGCCTGACCAACATGGTGAAACCCCATCTCTACTAAAAATATAAAAAAATTAGCCAGGCGTAGTGGCAGGTGCCTGTAGTCCCAGCTACCCAGGAGGCTGAGGTGGGAGAATCACTTGGACCTGGGAGGCAGAGGCTGCAGTGAGCCAAGATCACACCATTGCACTCCAGCCTGGGCAACAGAGTGAGATTCCATCTCAAAAAAATAGAACAAAAACTTTAAATGGATCAAAGATCTCCATATGTGAGCCAAGATTATAAAACTCTTAGAAGAAAATGGACCAATCTTACAACCTTGGGTTAGTCAGGGGTTTCTTAGATATGACACCAGAAGCACAAGCGACACAAGATAAGTTTTTCTGCATTATAGCAACGTATTACACGCTTGTGCTCCAAACAGTGCCATCAAGAAAGCAAAGTAGAACAGAAGAATGTTTGTTGCAAATCATGTCTATGCCGAGGGGCTTGAATCCAGAACACATAAAGAATGCTTATAGCTGAAAAATAAAAATACAACCCAGTTAAAAGCTAAATTGTCCATTGCTTTGAGAACGATACAGTCTCAGGTGCTACGGGCCCAGTCTCAGCTGGGGGCCCCCACTCCTGCCCTGACTCACTGCTATTCACTTGGGCTGAGAAGTTGACCAGGAGGCCGCCTTATGGCTGGGCTGTTAAAGGACACCCTGAAGCCGGTGGGTGACTCCTTGAATTAGAATTGCCCTGACCAGCTGCAGTGTAATCCCTGAAGGTGCGTGCTGGCTCGTAAGAGGCAGGGAGGAGAAGACTCTCAAAGCGAAAGGACCAGCTCTGATCCCTGCGAAGACTTTGAGAATTACTAAGAGAAAACTGCCTTGTGGTGAGGGTTCCCAGACAAGGATCACTTCCAGATGAGAATCCACAGTGGCTCGCTGACCTGCCTGGTCCTTCTGGCACTGTGAGGCTGATTGCTCTGTTAGAATTGAGCGCTGGCATCAAATAGATGCGTGAGCCAACCGTTTTAATAAAGTGATTATCACTCATCAGAGAGCCAGGCGCAGTGGCTCACACCTGTAATGCCAGCACTTTGGAGGGCTGATGTGGGAGGATCACTTGAGCCCAGGAGGCCGAGGCTGCAGTGAACTCTGACTGTGCCACTGCACTCTAACCTGGGCAACAAAGCAACACCCTTTCTCAGAAACAAACAACAGCGAATTGTCCAATTAAAAATGGGCAGGGACCTTTCTGAATAGAAGACATACAAGTAGACAGGAAGTACACCATCTTTATCACTGATCGTTAGGGAAATGTAAACCAAACCACGGTGAGACACCGCTCGATCCCCGCTAGGATGGCTGGAACCAATGGAATGCAACAGGACGAGCCGTCACAGCTGGAACCCGCGCATGCTGGGGGAGTGTAAGGTGGCAGGGCAGCCTCAGGAAGCAGCTGCCAGACATCCAGCACCCTGTTCTTCAGTGTTGACCTTGGGGAGGTGAACGCATGCACGGACCCACGCAGACGTTCACAGCAGTGTCGTCTGTGGTGGCCAGACAGCCATCAGCTGCTGATCTGTTAGACGGGGGTCCATCAACTCTGGCGCACTGCAGAATCATCAGAGGAAGTTTATAAAGGAAAGGTTTAGTTGACTCAGTTCAGCACAGCTGGGAGGCCTCAGGAAGCTTCCAGTCGTGGCAGGAGGTGACGCAGGCACCTTCTTCATGGGGCAGCAAGTCAGAGTGAGTTCCAGCAGGGGAAATGCCAGACACTTACACAAGCATCAGGTCATTCTTACCCTGAGAACAGCGGGGAAGAAACCTCCCCCATGATTCAGTTACCTCCACCTGTCCTGCCCTTGGCACATGGGGCTTGTGGGGATTACAATTCAAGGTGAGATTTGGGTGGGGACGCAGAGGAACATGAAGTTGCCACGCTGGGTGGATGAAGCCCACCCCAGAGCTGCTGGCCACGTGACCCCTCTTAGGTAGCACTCAGGAAGGGGCAGGACATCCAGGGACAGTGAGATCCACAGTGCGGGAAAGAGGGAGGGGACACACTAGGGGAGGGCAGAGGGGAGTTCCCTGGGTGTGGGGAACACGCTGTGTCTTGGTTGTGGTGCTGGCTACACAGCGGCCCACCCTGTCAGAGCTCATCTGCCTGCACTCAGGCCCTCCTTGCGTCCTGGCAGCCTGGGTGACCGGACCAGCCCAGGCAAGGTGGAGGAATGCCACACACGCCCAGTGCCTGGGGACCTGGGGTCTCGGTGCTCACCCCGAGCTCTAAGGCAGAAGCTGGACTACAGCCATGCTGAGCAGAGGGCTTTGCTGGCTGAACACCCACCTCCTATTTCTCCTGTAGACCCTGGGGTCTTGGGTACCCCCAAGGGTGCAGCATGGGCCACTCAGGGAACTCCTGCCTGGCCCTCATGCTCGCCTGGCACCCCTGCAGGTCCTGGACTCGGAGCAGGACCCTGCGGAGCACATCCCCGAGGTGGAGGAGGACCTGGACCTCCTGTATGACACGCTGGACATGGAGCACCCCAGCGACAGTGGCCCCGACATGGAGGACGATGACAGTGTCCTCAGCACCCCCAAGCCAAAGCTGCGGTGAGCCCTAGGGGGCGGGGTGGGGTGGGGAACATCCATTTCAGATGCTGCAGCCACTCTGGCAGACCCATGTCCAGCCTGGGGGATGTGATGGGCAGGGCCAGCTGCCTGGAAGCCTGGGAAGACTCTGATGGCCAGACCAGTAGGGTGGGCCTGCAGGAGAGGTATGCAGCTGTCTGGCAGGCCCAGGTCATGGTTGCACTGAGCCAGGCAGCTCTCGTTTCACAGGCCAGGCCAGGGGGTGTGAGCTCTCGGCTGGGGAGGACTTGGGGGGCCCCCAGGGTGCTGGCTGGGCTGGGCCTGCCACCCTGTGGCTCAGGGGATTAGGGGATCAGTCATTGGGGGATACCCTGGGAACTGCAGAGGACTTCTGCCCACTCAGGTGGGGAGTGGGGCTCCCATGCTGGGTGCCCCTCCCTGAGGAGGAGGAGGAGGAGGCAGAGGCAGGCAGAGATGGGGTGGCAGGTGTCTGTGGTGGGTGGGAGGAGGGGCCTAGCTGAGGCCTGGCCTGGGCAGGAGGGAGATTCAGAGCCTCTCTGCACATGGGTCTGGGCGAAGAGGCAAGCATACCAGGTAGAAGGCACGTGCCAGGATCTGGGCAGCTGCTGAGGAGCCAGAGACCCCAGTTGGAGATGGGAAGCTTGGGACTTTTTATGGTTTTTAACCTGAGCAGCATGAAGATGTAGACATGGGCGAGGCGGCATTGCTGCGTGTTGGAGGCAAGGCCCCGCTTGGCCCTGCAGCGGGCAGCAGCCTCCCATCTCACCTGGCATTGCCCAGTGGCCCTAGCCCCACCTACTGCCGCTTCAGTCACCAGCAGCCACCATAACAGGTGACCGCAGATGTGGCCATTAAAAACAGCCTCTGTTCCTCCCATTCTGGAGTCACCATCCTGAGGTTGTGGCTTCATTCTTTGCCCGGGTCTTGCTGAGCTGGGGTGGAGGTATGGCTGCTGCCCTGACTGGGCTTCTGAGGTCACGTGGCAGCCTGGCGTGGCTTTTGGTGGAGTTGGGCTCAGTATGGCTGCGGGACTGGGGTCTGGCTGCCTGCCGCCTGGTGGCCGCCAGTCATTCTTGCCTCTGGCAGCTGTCCCCAGACTTTGGCCCAGGGTCCCTCCTTCACCTTGGGAGCCAGCAAGGCCCGGCCAAGTCCCCTCACACTTCAGGTCTCCCTGGCCTTCTGGCCTCATCTCTCCTTCCTTCAGCCGGAGAAAGCGCTCTGCCTTTAACGGCCCATGTGATTCCGTAGGAGATACCCGTGTGGCCCAGTTCATCTCCCATCTGCAGCTCCGTGGCCTATCTGCAGAGCCCTGGCCAGCTGACGTTCATAGTCTGGGGAGAGGCGTGTGCTCTCGGGCCCTGCTGATGGTCACACAGCAGCAACGAGTTGCCACGTGGCTTTGTTGCCCAGCGTGGACCAACAGACACTGCATAAGTCCTGTCTGTTTTTTTGTTTTGTTTTGTTTTTTGAGACTGGGTCTTGCTCCGTCACCCAGGCTAGAATGTAGCTGTGCAGTCACGACTCATTGCAGCCTCAACTGCCTGTGCCCAACCGATTCTCCCACTTCAGCCTCCTGAGCAGCTGGGGTCAATGGTGTGTGCCCCCACACCCAGCTAATTTTTATATTTTTTGTAGAGACAGGGTCTTCCTTGCCTGGAGCTAAGGCTGAGTTTCAGGGATCTGTGTGTCCTGCAGCTGATATCAGGGCGGGTGGAGGAGCCAGGAAGGAGCCCGGCGCTGCCAGCCCCAGAATCGTCCTCCCCATGCCCGTGTCAGTGCGGATGTGCACTGGCACGGGCTCTTCTCTGGACCCAGCTCTGCTCTGCTGTTGGACTCTCCAGTCTCTTCCTCCAGGTGTGGTGGGAGAGCCGTGCTTTAGCGCAAGAAGGATCCTGGGAATTAACATGTCCCCACCCCTGTTTCTTGAGCCAGGCCATACTTTGAAGGACTGTCGCACTCGAGCTCACAGACAGAGATCGGGAGTATCCACAGTGCCCGCAGCCACAAGGAGCCCCCGAGCCCGGTGAGTGGGGCCACACTGATCCCCAAGAGTGGCCCGTGGCCCGACTGGGCTATGGCGTGGCCCAAATCTCTCAGCATGTCCTGGGCCCAGGGCCCTGTCCAACTGTCCTGGAGCTACTTTGCACCCACTGTCCAGGATCCAGTGTCCCCTGAGCCTCGGCATTCCCAGCCCAGGAGTCAGCACCTTGGCCCCTGCAGGTGAGCAAAACTGATCACATGTCCTCCCCACAGGCTGATGCACCCGAGAAGACGCGGTCCCTGGGAGGCAGGCAGCCAAGCGACAGTGTCTCCGACACAGTGGCCCTCGTAAGCAGGCTGGGGCCGCACCCACCCATCCACACACCGGGCACGCCAACGCTGCCTTTAAGGGTCTGACCCAGAGGGGCAGGCCCCACATGTAGGTCTCACGTCACACCTGGTATGCAGAGGTGGGGTCAGCCTTCAGGAGTGGCCAGGCCACCGAATGGTCAGTATCCCAAAATCCACTCTACCTTCAGGGGTGCCCCAGATTCACCCCATCTTTGGGGTCAGGGCACCCCAGATTTATCCCACCTTCAGGGTCAGGGTGCCTGGATTCACCCCACCTTCAGGGTCAGGGTGCCTGGATTCACCCCACCTTCAGGATCAGGGTGCCCCAGATTCACCCCACCCTCAGGATCAGGGTACCCTGGACTTAACCCCCCTTCAGGGTCAGGGCACCTGAATACCTTACCCTCAGGTGAATGACTGCATGGCCCCTCTGTGCTGTTGCCCACGGGCACCCAGGGAACCTGCTTGGTGCATTGCTTGGGGTCTTTTCAGTTAGGGGGTCCTGGGCCCAGGGCAGGTCAGGTCCTGGGAGGTTGGGTGCTGCTTGCCCTCATGGCCTGGATGGAAGCCCCATGGTTGGAGCTAAGCTCAGCCAGGTTCCCTGGGCAGCATGTGGCCAGATCCACATGTAGGAGCCACAGCCTAGAGAGGCCTAAACCCTCACTTGAGCCAGAGGCCACACAGCTGGAGAGGGCCCAGCACTGGTTCGGTTTCCACGGGAGGCTCCAGCCTGTGTCTGCTCAGCAGGGTACACCAGGCCCAAGGGCGCAGCCTGGACAGCCTGAGGACAGCCCTGAGGCTGAGGCCTCCACCCTGGATGTGTTCACGGAGAGGCTGCCGCCCAGCGGGAGAATCACCAAGACAGAGTCCCTTGTCATCCCCTCCACCAGGTGACAGGGGCTCTGTGCTGTTGGGCGGGTCGGCGATGCAGCCATCAGGGGAGGGGCCCTTGGGGCATCCATCAGGGTGGGTTCCTGTCAGTGCAGCCCGATGGGCTCCCTCAGATGCAGACAGCAGGTTCAGGGCCCCGTCCCTCTTCATAAGAAGGAGAAGCAAACCTGCTGCCCCAGCACTGGGTATGGCGCCTGCAGCCTCAGATCCCACCTGCTTGAGGGCTGGGGCCAGGCATGTGCCCTCCTGCAGGCGCCCCTACCCCACGGCCCCCTGAGTAGTCCCCGCCACAGCCAAAAGACATACATCCACCAGCTTGATTCTGTTAGGGTCTCAAGTTCATGTTTCTGTGACATTTGGGACTTCTTCCAAAGCAGTGAGTCTGGGCACTGGCATTTACCTGGTGGCAGCACCCAGGGTCCTGTGTCCGGGCTCTGGAGCTGTGGTCACCCTGGCAGTCTCTGTGCCCTGCACTGTCCTGCCCCTGGCTCTGCCCAGCTCTTGGCCCGGGCAGAGAGGGTGAGCCCAGTCCTCATGGTGACTCCAGGGTTCCCAGCCTGTCTCATAGCCTCACAGGCAGAGCTGCATGGGGTCCCCTCGAGGTCACGGTCTCATTTGTACTCAGCTGCAGCTGTGGCCCTCCCAGGGCTGGTGGCCTCTCTGCAGCCCGTGGCCCGCTGGCCATCAGTCGGCCCTGTGCTTGTCTTTCCCTGTCCCCACCACGATGTGTAGGCCACTGCAGGCCTGCCCCAGCCCCTGCCCCTGTTGCTGCTACAGCCACTTAGCCTGTCCTGGTCCCCAACAGGTCTGAGGGGAAGCAGACTGGCCGACGGGGCCGGAGCACATCCCTGAAGGAGCGGCAGCCAGCACGGCCCCAGAATGAGCGGGCCAACAGCCTGGACAATGAGCGCTGCCCTGACTCCCGGAGCCAGCTGCAGGTGCAGGTGCAGGTGGGGTGGAGGGAGTGGCCTGCCCGGAAGGCAGGGCTCGTGGTCACCATGGCACCAACCAGGCCAGGGCGAAAAGAGAAGCACAGGGGCCAAGGGTGCCAGGCCATAGAGCATGCGAGGCTTTGGAGGGCACCTGCTACACAGCAGGGGGGGCGGGGCCTGGGTTGGTTTGTCAGGAAGGCCGTGTGGACCCCAGGGTAAGTTCTTTCTAGTCCTCCTGCTGCCCTCCCGGGCCCAGGACAGGCTCATTGCTTGGCCAGTTTGGCCCAGGGGTGGTCTCCAAGCTGGCCAGCTCTCTTCCTGCTGCTGAGCCTCTGTGGCTGCAGGGGAAGCAGAGGCACTGTGGGCACAGGGGCTGGGGCCATGGGGACAGGTGCTGTGCTGCTTTTCTGGGTATGGACAGGCCTCTTGTGCCTCCAGATCCCAAGGAAGACTGTGTATGACCAGCTCAACCACATCCTCGTCTCTGACGACCAGCTTCCTGAAAACATCATTCTCGTCAACACCTCCGACTGGCAGGGGCAGGTGGGCGTGCAGTCTCATGGAATGGAGGGCTAGAGCATAGGACGGAGGAGGGGGGCTCCTGTGCCCGCCCCCCACCCCCGGCACACCTGGGTGCTGGAGCTGGTGGCTGTGGTTTGCCTGGCCGGGCCTGAGGTCTCTGGAGCCCCTGAGAGCTTTGGTGAGGGCTGGGTGCTGGGGGGTCTGGGAGGCCGTGCTGAAGTCAGCGGCTGCCCATCCTCCGCCAGTTCCTCTCTGATGTCCTCCAGAGGCACACGCTCCCCGTGGTGTGCACGTGCTCTCCCGCAGATGTCCAGGCAGCCTTCAGCACCATCGTCTCGCGGATACAGAGATAGTGAGTTGGGCTCCACCCTGTGCTCACTGCCCAAGTACCCCTCGGGGTCACTGCACCCCAGCCTCTGCTCCTCACTCCAGGGCCGGGCTGTGGCTGGTGTCCATGGGGCCTTGGAGCCTGGTCTCCCCTCATTGCGGGCAGAAGCAGCAGCCTGGCGGGTGTCCGGTCACACTGGAGGGGTGACCACCTGGCCCGTCCTGGGAAACCTGGGCCGAGGCCGTGATTATGTGGCCCTCAGCCTGGGCAGTTTTGGGCATGTGGCGTCCTGGGTCTGGGCAGCACCAGGGTGGTTGTGGTATGAGCGGCCACCAGCACGGGGCCCCCAGGCTCACACAGGCATCCTTGGATGGAGGACGGCTCCCCTGAGGCGTCTGTCCCCTCTTTGTTCCACCTGCCTCTGGATGGCAGCTGCAACTGCAATTCCCAGCCCCCGACCCCTGTGAAGATCGCCGTGGCGGGAGCGCAGCATTACCTCAGTGCCATCCTGCGGCTCTTCGTGGAGCAGCTATCCCACAAGACGCCCGACTGGCTCGGCTACATGCGCTTCCTGGTCATCCCGCTGGGTGAGCGCGTCCGCCTGGGCCTGGCACACATGCCGAGGGCGGTGTGGCGCCCCAGCTTGCCGTGCATTTGTTGTTTTAAATGTTTGAGAGAGTAACGCTGTTAATTTTAATTACATGCAAGATAACTTGATCACCCTAAAACAGCCATTTGGGTCAAGGTAAAGCCGTAACCCTCTGAAGGGGCCGAGCCGGGCGTGCCCTCAGTCCATTGCTGTGGTAACTCAGCCGGTTTCCGTTTCCAGAGTCAGAAGGGCACAGCAGGGCTGGTTATTAATGCTCTCCGATTGTCCAAGTCCTGTGTCGTGGAACTCCATGACTTCCTTAGGTCCATACAATGTGTCTTATTGCAAAACCTATCCAGCCTGAATCTGTGCCCAGCCGCAAGGCCTCGAGGCGGCGCCTCTCCTGTGTGGCCCCTGCGATGCCCACGCCACAGCCCTGAGCCAGCCAAGGCCTCTGAACGGTCACGTGTGCCCTGCTGAGCCTTCGTCGCTGGCAGTCAGGGCTGTGGGGCCTCGGCTCAAGGCCATAGCTCCTTCAGTGGGGCCACAGGTGTCCACCAGGGAGGGGTGGTGGCAGGGTCAGCGGCAGGAAAGTAGGCTTGTCTGGAAGGCAGCAGAGCAGGCCCAGGGTCAGGTGAGCCAGCTCTTGGGCCAAGGTGGGAGCCTTGTAGCCCCAATCCCCCGTGGTGACATTGGCCCCACCCATGGCACGCAGGGTCCCACCCCGTGGCCAGGTACCTGGGCTCCGTGGACTACCGCTACAACAACTTCTTCCAGGACCTGGCCTGGAGAGACCTATTCAGCAAACTGGAGGCCCAGAGTGCGGGTGAGGCCCGGGCGCGCCCACAGCCCCACGCCGCTGCGGGAGGAAGGGGCCCTGCTCTCCCCAGTTGCTGTGCCCAGGAGGCCCTGTACCTGCTCACGCTCAGCCTCAAGGAAGAGGCCATGACAGGGCCCGCTGAGGCCTTGGCCAGGACGCCTCCTCTCCCCCGAGCATTAGAATGTTGGGAGCCATGGGGCCTGTCTGGGAAGAGGCAGGCGCAGCCCTGCAGGCCTTGCCACACTTGCCCTGGTACCACCTTGAGAGTAGAGGACCAGGGCCCCTCAGCCCCACTGCACTTCGGGGTGTGGGAGGCCTGGGCGGGGCAGCAGGGACACCCAGCTCAGCCCCGCTTGGAACCCCACCTGGTGCCAGCCCAACCTCCCTGATTCCTCCCCTCCTCCCCTGCAGTACAGGACGCGCCGGACATCGTGTCACGCATCACCCAGTATATGGCAGGTGCCAACTGTGCCCACCAGCTCCCCATTGCAGAGGCCATGCTGACCTACAAGCAGAAGAGGTAATGAGCTGGGCCCAGGCACCATGCCACAGGATCCTGCCAGCCACCAGCCCTCCACGGGCCTCTCCACCAGCTGCTGGGCTCGGCCTGGTGGCCACAGAGCCCTGCACTGGGCTTAGACCAGAGGCTGGGTCAGCCAGGCAGCTCCGTGGCCTCCCTGACCATAGGCACTTCCCCACACCCCAGGTCCCTCCTCATAAGCGTCATGTTTCCACCATTTCTGCACATGTTGAATCCCCAAGTGATGAGAAGTTGACGGGATGGATAGCTGTCATGGGACCAGGGTGGTAGTGGCCCAGCCCCTCCAATCTGGGCACCTGTTCCTTCCACAGCCTGACTTTCCTGGGATGGGGAACTGAGGGGTCCCTGGGCCTTGGGACCTGGGGGCGAGTGAGCAGCTCACATCCTTACCTGCCCAGAGCAGGGCGGTGCTCAGGAGCTCCGGGCCGGAAGCCCTGTGGGAGACCTGACTGTCCCGCCTGCGCCTCCTCCCTGCACATCTGGTGCCAGCTGTCCCCACCTTTCCCTAGACTACCTGGGAGAGAGCCAATTGCAAAGTGCAGAGCCAGCACCCATGGGCTCTCTCACCAGGAGACCAAGCAAGGCGACCCCCGGAGGGCTCCTGAGGGCGTCGTAACATGTCTGTGTTTTCTCTTTTGACGGCTTTCTGAAAAGGAAAAAGCATTTTCATTTTGACTTTACCCTCAGGTATGGCTCTCTGGGTCTGCCTCCCGCCCTGTCTGTCCCCAGGCTGGTCTTTAGGGCTCGTTTAGCAGTCACTGTCTGCACCACCCTGCGGTCCTCTGTCTGGGCTGGGAGTCAGGCCCCGAGGGCTGCCAGGTGGAGGTGGAGAGCCAGCGAGGGGGAGGGGAGCTAGCCCCATGGGAGTCACCTTTTCCTTCCTCCGGCCTCACACTGGCCTCCAGTCCCTGGGCCGGGCCCTTGTTCTGAGACTCCAACCCAGAGCCCTGAAGTCTGCAGCTCAGCCAGCCAGGACTCTCCTCCCCTCTGTTTTGACCCTGCGTTTTGGTTTAACACGTGGCCAGGTTTAGGCTGGGCATAGTGGCTCATGCCTGTAATCCCAATACTTTGGGAAGCTGAGGAGGGTGGATCACTTGAGGTCCGGAGTTCAAGACCAGCCTGGCCAACATGGTGAAACCCCATCTCTATAAAAATACAAAAAAATTAGCCAGGTGTGGTGGTGCACGCCTGTAATCCCAGCTACTTAGGAGGCTGAGACAGGAGAATCACTTGAACCCAGGAGGCGGAGATTGCAGTGAGCCGAGATCACGCCACTGCACTCAAGTCTGGTGACAAGCGAGACTCCATCTCAAAAAAAAAGTGGCCAGGTTTAGCCCCTCCTTGTTTTAAACTAAGAGCAAGTGGCTGATGCGGACACTGGGGTCACCTGGGCCAGGCTGTGCCCCAGGCCCTTCCTGTTTGTGAACTTGGCAGCAGCCTGGCAGGGACACTGGTGCTCCCTACATGTAGGGATGCCAAGGCCAGCGCGTAAGGAGCTCGCCCGGTGACGTGGCAACCACGCTGCAGAGCCTGGCTCCCAGGGCCGGCAGAGGGCATTCCTGCATCTCCTGTGGCTTACCTAGAGACGTGGCCACACTACCAGGACCTCCAAATGGGGGTAAAGAGCTTTTGTGCTGAGACAGCTCCACCCCCTAAAACCTTTCATATTTAGAGTCGGGTCCCAGGCACCCCCCAGAGCTGCCCTTTCAGACAGAGCCACCCATTTTCCTCGGCCAGGTGTATCCTGCGGCAGGGGGGCCCTGCTGGTCCTCCCGTGGGGCTCGTTCTCTGCCCCGTCTTCTACCTGTGTGAGGTCATTTGCTGTCCTAGGAAACCTGTCCCCACCCCCACCCCCAGTGCAGGGTAGCTGGGTTCCTGGGGCCCTCTTGCTGGAAACACTGCAGGCCTAGGAGCTGCTCGAAGTGGGCAGCCTGGGACCACCCTCAGCTGCAGGGCTGGGTGCTGGGAAGACACCGGAGGGTGGCTGGGCATTCTACGTCTCATCCTGCTAAACAAGCCTTCGCAGGTGAAAGACCAGTCATGGGGGCCTCCCTGCTGACCCCTGGTGGCCTGCGCCCTAGCCCCTGGCTGTGGCACTAAGAGTCTGCAGCATGCTCTGGTTGCCCGGGCTGCCACAGGCCGTGGACGCAGCTTCTTGTCTGTCCCAGATCAGCTCTTCCGAGCAGCAAGCCAGGGCCTTAGGAGACCCTAACACCTGCTCCCACCCCGTGCCTCCTGCCCCTGCCTCCGCATTACAGGGGTGACACTGGCTGCCTGGGTGGGGTGGGCTGGAGCCCTGGAAGGAACCCAGTGAAGGCGCTGAGTGTCTTACCTGTTCTCTCTACCCAGAGGAAGGTCGGTCAGGAGGCCAGGAGAGGTCAGGCGGTGGCACAGCCTTGTGGCTGGGACCTATGCAGAGTCCTCTCCAGCCAGACTCCCCGTGAGAGCCCCTCGGGAGGTGACCCTGCTGGCCAGTCCTCCCCTGTCCAGGATGGCACTCCTCCTAGGAGGGCAGGCCAGGCCTGGAGGGCGGCCACAGCCCCAGCCTGCCCGTGCCAGCATGTGTGGGTAGAAAGGCTGCTCAGGCATCTAGCAGCTTCCCCAGGGTCAGGCGGAGTGGCCCCCAGGCACTCTCTGTGCCCCTTACACTCCTGACTGCTTTGCCTCCACGGATGTGTGTGGCTCCAGGGTCAGGGTGAGGTCTCAGTGGCCAGCCGGTGTCACCCCTGTTATACTGGCCCATGTCTGGGGCCGGGTGCTGTCTGCATGGCCCAGAGGTACAGCTTGGCTTTGAGAGTTCCAGCAACGTCCCTGTGTTGTGACGTCTCCTGCATTCGGCACTCATCTGCCACACACTGCCCCGTGGGCCTTGGAGCAGAGCATGGACAGGAGGCCACCCTGCCATGGCTGTTGGGGGGTCTGGCTTGGCAGAGGGCAGGTGGCCCTGGGGATTGGAGCCACCCATGCCCTGGGGACCAGGAGCGGCCTCCTGCCTTCTGTGCCTTCGTGTGCCTGGAAGGACACTGATGTCACTGAGATTTCCAAACACCGATCTGCCCGGTGAGGATGGCGGGATGTCAAGGACACGTGGAGGTGCTCCTGCCTGACAGCTGTGGACAGAGCCAGGGTGCGGCAGGGCCAAGAGGCCACCCTGAGGCAGAGGCGGTCCTGAACACAGGATTTGCATTGCCTTATGTTATTTGAAACGGACAAGAGGGGAAAGTTTCTGTTTCAAGTCTCTTCTTAGAAGTGGAACTGGGCCGAGGGCATCTTTAATGGGATGGACGGAATCTGTAGGTGGTTTCATCCGGAGGCATTACCAGGCCTTCTGCCGAGGGTAGGGTGGGAACTGTCCTGGTTAGCGTCCGGGGAGGGTGGATATTGCCTGCTGCTGTCCCCTCACGCTGGCGCTGTGAAGACTGGGAAGGCACCTGCTGGGACCAGCTGCAGGGGCTGCCTCCTGGGAGTGTGTTCTGGACCGGCCCTGGGCAGGGCTGTTTTGCTCGTGGACACACTGCGGGGAGTGCTGGGATAAGCCTCTGCCCTGCAGGGCTCTTGGGGAGACAGTGCTGCTGGTCTGGAAGCTGGTGCTCCTGGCAGAGGCCCGGCTGGGCCTGTGGCATCCTCCCCAGGCCTGTTTCCTGCAAGGGATTCTCCCTCAATGACCCTGTTCTGGAAAACAACCCAAGGGAGGGCTGGGGCCACTGGGCAGACCCATGTTCTGCACCTGGTGCAGGGCTGTCCCTGAGGGAGCACCCTGCTGGCCTGGCCGTTCTCGTCCTGGGTGTCGCCCTGTGCCTTGGCCTGTCCCCAGTGCTCCAGGGGCAGTGGCCACTCCTCTGCACTGTGTGTGTGCGTAGTCTTCACCTGTAAGAGCCACTTGCTACATCAGACTCTGCAGTTTGGGGAAACAAGGCGGAAGAAACAGCTGGGCGAACTGCCCAGAGAGACAGCACCAGCCACTGATGTGGTCTGGCCGAGGAAGCCAGGTGGGGAGGCCCCTCCATGTCTAAGTGCAGGCCACGGGGAGCCTGGAGGCCAGGGGAGAGCAGCAAAGAGGGAGCCAGAGCCAGCCCACCACTCAGGATAGGCCCTGCCCTGTGGATCTTCTGTGGGGCCTGGGAGGAGATATGCCCACATCTCCCCAGCTGTCTCAGGACCTTGTGCGGCAGGGGACCGTGCCATGGCACGGTCAGCAGGAGCCTGCATGAGCTGGACCACAGGACAGCCCTGCCTGAGCTGCCCATGTTGGAGGGGAAGGCAGACGCGTCTCTTCTCCGCAGCCCCACAGCTCCTGCCCTCACACCCCAGCATCTTCACGTGGATGGGCTGTGACTGACTTCCAGGAGAGGCTGCTGTTCTGCCGGATGTTGTGTGGAGTCAAGTCCAGGCAAAACCTCCAGCACTCACCGAGCCCATCAGCCCACTCAGGCACGGCCGGCTGGGGGCATGCCGGGCCCGCCTGCAGGCCACGCGTGGGGCATTCTGGTAGAACACTGAGGTCTACAGCGGTCCACGGCAGCCAAAGCCTGGCCTCTCCTGTGGCATGGCCATTACCCAGATGGTCTGGAGAAAACCTCCCCACCCTGCTGTTGCGAAGGTTCTGGGGCACATGCAGCTGCCCTCCTCCCAGTGGAGCAGGGAGCACCCAGCTTGGTAGGGCAGTGGAGACGCAGGCTGGACGGGGCTGAGCTGGCTGCGTGGCGTCAGGCACTGAGGATCACAGAGTGAACCCCTCGGCAGAGCTGTGCCCTCCGGCCTGGCCTCCTGCCCATGGGTGCACAGAGACCTGTTTGTCCTTCCCTCGTGGCGGCATGGCAGGAGGGGCCAGGCCAGGGCCGGCAGTGGTTGGGGATGGGTGGGGCTGGGGCACACTGGGCAGGGCCGACTGGGGCAGGGCCGTCTGGTGGGGCCGCGCCAGGTTCTCAGGCCAAGAGGGAGCTGTGCCCACCGTGCGGGGCTGTGCCCTGAGGAGAGCTTAACTGTCTGTTTCCTTGCTCTTAGCCCTGACGAAGAGTCCTCCCAAAAGTTCATTCCCTTTGTTGGGGTGAGTACTGGCCAGCTGTATGTGACGCTCACCTGCCAACATGTCTTTCATAGTCAGAACATTTGGGGATCGACGATGTATTCCAGAACCCTCCCACAGATGTGAGCTGGGTATTTGCCTTCCCATGTGGCCTGTCTCAAAGCTTGCTTCCTTCCCCTGCTGGAGTGGGTGTGGGCCTGGAGGTTGTTGGTTCCCCCCAGCTCTGCCTGGGGGGCTGATATGTGGAAGCAGAGATAGGTCGGTGGGGCAAGGCCTCAGGGACACCCAGTGGGCTTGGCCCAGCGTCTTAGGAGAGGAGACTGCCTCCTGGGTGGGGAGAGCGCCTCTGTCGTCTAGGAGCCCAAGGCCACGGGGGAGCTTCCCTTTGCCCACACTGGGGCTGTGGCCTGCGGGTGTGTGGGCTTTGGTTCCTGCCCAAGGCAAGGTCTGCTTCTGCCAGCCAGGCCGATCCCTGCCAGGCCTGGGTTTCCACAGCCTGCCTCCTGTCCATCTTTTATCCCATTGTGTGGCCTCCCTCCTGCCAGGTGTCTGCTATGAGATCCATGGGGCCTGGCAGATGAGTTGCCCAGGCAGGGAAGGGGTCTCTGGGCCTCAGTTTCCCCACTGGTGGAACAGAGGCCTTTCCATGCACTGTACAGTGGCTGGGTCTGCTGAGGCTCCGGGGCGATGGCCTCTGAGAAGGCGGAGTTCGTGGTGAGCAGCAGCTGCTTAAGCTCTGTCTGCACTCGCGGGTATCTCTGCTGAGGCACGCAGGCCTTCCTGCAGCCGAGGCCCTGTTCTGTCACTGGGATTCATGGTGGATCTAGGCAGCCACTTGTGTCTCGTGGCTGCCACGTGGGGGCCTACCAGGTCCTGGGTCTATCCTGTTGGCCCACCAGGGTCCCTCCTGCCGGCATCCTGGTCTTTCTTACTGGACACGTGGTTTGCTGCTGCCCTGAGGGCTGCCTTTGGGAGAGGGCAGTCCCTCCTGCTGAACCCATGCTCCCTGAGCACTATGTGTCCCCACGTGGCTGCCCTGAGCTTGGCTCTGCTCCACAGATGGGGGAGAAGGCAGGAGGGACCCCGCACTGTCCTGGCCCTCCTGTATCATGGGAGTGGTGGCCACAGGGGGAGGGTGGTGGGCGAGCTGAACCACATGGCTTCCACCAGCCAGTGCCTGTCGCTTTCTAGGTTGTGAAGGTCGGAATTGTGGAGCCATCCTCGGCCACATCAGGTAACCCCATCCCACCCAGAGGCCTTGTGAGTGGCCCATGGGTAGCGGTCCCGACAGCTTCATGGGCGCTGAGCCCCAGGGGAGCACCATCACTCTGGTCCTGCAGACCAGACCAGTCCTTTGGGGCCTGACAGCTGCTGAGTCCCAGTCTGGCTGTAGTGCTTCTGCTCCACACGGGGTTTGTCCTCCAGGGACCACTGTCCTCCTGAAGCCCCATACCAAGGCCAGCAGAGCCATCTTCCCCAATCCAAGAGAATCCGAGACCCTCCTATCTCACACAGGCCACTGGGGACTCCCACCCTGCACCCCCAGGGGCTGCCTGGCCTTTTGGCCACATCCTGGTGCCACCCAGGCAGAGCAGCGGGTTGACTCAGCCGGCTCTGTGACTCCTTCCCAAAGGTGACTCGGACGACGCGGCCCCCTCGGGCTCTGGTGCGCTCTCCTCCACCCCACCATCCACATCTCCTGCGGCCAAGGAGGCCTCACCCACCCCACCCTCCTCCCCGTCGGTGAGCGGAGGCCTGTCCTCCCCCAGGTAAAGACGCGGGTCAGCCTGTTTCACTTGCCCGCCCCATCACGCACCGCCTGATTTGGTCATCCCCACGTCACAACTGCCTCCCAGGGCACTTATCCTCTTAGCTGCAGGTGCCCTGCAGGTGGAGGGCTCTGCAGGGCGGCTGGGTCCTCTCCTGCCACAGCCGGGGTTGGGGGCAGGACCTCGGGGGGATGGTGAATAAATGTGGGTGCTATGCTTGGCTGTCTCTTGACTCTGCACACAGGGCTTTTTTTTTTTGAGATGGAGTCTTGCTTTGTCCCCAGGCTGGAGTGCAGTGGCGCAATTTCAGCTCACTGCAACCTCTACCTCCCAGATTCAAGTGATTCCCCTGCCTCAGCCTCCTGAGTACCTGGGACTACAGGCGCATGCTGCCACACCCCGAGAATTATTTGTATTTTAGTGGAGGTGGGGTTTCACCACTTTGGCCAGGATGATCTCGATCTCTTGACCTCGTGATCCGCCCACCTCTGCCTCCCAAAGTGCTGGGATTACAGGCATAAGCCACTGCACCTGGCCCTCCACAGTTGGGGCTTTAAAAAATCAAACTGAGGGCAGAAGGTGCCAAGACAGGAATCTCTAGACAGTGCCATGGGATTAGCTTTGACCCCACTAGCCTGCCTGGGTCTCCCCAGAGCAGACCTCACGCAAATGGAGCTAAGCTGTTGGGGGCTGTGGGGCCCGAGGCCAGGCATGGTGTTGGTGCTGTGTGCAGGGCTCCCACCACAGACCCCCAGCCCCCTGCCTCCTGTTTGTAGCCTCCAGCTCCTTCCAGGCTGAGCGTGAGGGAGCTGGTTCACGTAGGCCCTCAAGACTCCGAGGGGCAGCGCAGAGAGCAGGTGGACAGGCCACCCAGGCCGAGGGCTCCTGTCACCAGGCTCCCTGTAATTTGCACAGTACCCTCCTGGAGGTGACCGGGCATGTGGGCAGCTCCACAGAGCAGGCTTCGAGCCCCTGGCCCTCCTCTGCTGGCAAGTTGGGACAGGTGCTGGCTGTTACCTCCTGGCCTGTCATGGGGACAGTGACGCCCCCATCACCAGGCACAAGGATGCAGGTGTGAGCACCTCCCTCTGCCCTTCCCAGCCAGGGCGTTGGTGCCGAGCTGATGGGGCTGCAGGTGGACTACTGGACGGCAGCACTGCCCACGGACAGGAAGAGGGATGCCGAGAAGAAGGACCTGCCTGCCACCAAAAACACGCTCAAGTGCACTTTCCGGTCCCTCCAGGTCAGCAGGCTGCCCAGCAGTGGCGAGGCTGCGGCCACGCCCACCATGTCCATGACTGTGGTCACCAAGGAGAAGAACAAGAAGGGTGAGGTGGGGCGGCTCAAAGCCTGCAGGGATGGCAGCCCCCAGCTGGCCTTGGGCAACCCATGTGCATAGGCAGGGCCGGTGGGTGAGGGAGTAGGACCTGAGGGCAGTGAGGGTCGGGCAGTTGTGACCAGCGCCTCAGGCAGAGGCCAGCTGGGCTGGTCACCGTGGGAGGCAGGTTTCCTGGGTGTGCAGGGCCAAGGTCAGCGGAGCCCCCAGTGCAATGCCTTCCCCACACCCCCGGGCCTGGCCCTGGAGGAGCGGCACAGTGACAGCTGGGCGTCATGCCTTCCACACACCCCCGGGCCTGGCCCTGGAGGAGCGGCACAGTGACAGCTGGGAGTCATGCCTTCCACACACCCCCGGGCCTGGCCCTGGAGGAGCGGCACAGTGACAGCCGGGCGTCATGCCTTCCCCACACCCCCGGGCCTGGCCCTGGAGGAGCGGCACAGTGACAGCCGCGTCTCTTCTCCCAGTGATGTTTCTACCCAAGAAGGCCAAGGACAAGGACGTGGAATCCAAGAGCCAGTGCATCGAGGGGATCAGCCGGCTCATCTGCACCGCCAAGCAGCAGCAGAACATGCTTCGGGGTGAGCTCCGCGCTCCCGGGGTCTGTGTAGAGCGGGGCACAGCAGGGCCGCTCGGGGTCTCTGTAAAGTGCACCTTCTGCCACCTGAGGCGTGAGCACATTCGTGGAGCCTTGGTGAGGCCGGCAGCTTTCTAAATGCTGAGAAGGAAGTTTTCAGCCCTTTCTGCTTTTTAAGGATAATGACTTTATTTTTTCATACCAGCAACTGCATCTACGGATGGTTTGTTTGGTTTTGAGACGGAGTTTTGCTCTTCACCCAGGCTGGAGTGCAGTGGTGTGATCCCGGCTCACTGCGACTGCCTCCCGGGTTCAAGCAATTCTCCTGCCTCAGCCTCCCAAGTAGCTGGGATTACAGGCATCTGCCACAACGCCTGGCTAATTTTTTGGTATTTTTAATAGAGACTGGGGTTTTGTCACGTTGGGCAGGCTGGTCTCGAACTCCTGACCTCGGGTGATCTCCCCTCCTTGGCCTCCCAGACTGCTGGGATTACAGGTGCGAGCCACCATGTCCAGCCTAAAAATGATGACTTATAATTTCCAAGTGTTTTAGAGAGGGTGGTCTGCAGTTGACTGTCTCAGAAACGGAGCTCAGGTCAGATGACCTCCAGGTTGACGTGGCTCTGTCTCCCCACAGGGGGCTGTGTTTTAAGGGGGCTCCCAGTGTCCTCTCCCCACACCCGTGCAGGTGGAGGTGGATGTGTACAAGTAGTGCCTGGTGGAAGGAGGTGGGGTCTGATTCTTCCATCTGCAGGCAGCCCTGGGGGCGATGCCAGCCCCAGGGCTCTGAGGTGTGGGAGGGCAGGGGGCAGAAAGGGTGGACCAGTGGGCAGGCAGGGTGGGCAGAGGAAGGGTGGACCAGCAGGCAGGCAGAGTGGGCGGGCGGGCAGGCGTACGGGCGGGCAGGTGGTCAGGCAGCCCTCTCCCACAGTCCTCATCGACGGTGTGGAGTGCAGCGACGTGAAGTTCTTCCAGCTGGCCGCACAGTGGTCCTCCCACGTGAAGCACTTCCCCATCTGCATCTTCGGACACTCCAAGGCCACCTTCTAGCCCCGCCCCCACCGGGGGCCCCACCTCCTGCCCCAAGCACCCACCACGCTGGGAGGGGCCCAGCTGCATTTCTGTTAACATTTCAGTTTACTACAGAGACAGACCCTTAAAACACAAAGAGAAACAGTCTTAAGTATGAATGTGCTCACAGCCTGGAAACTAACGGGGCAGCTCCCGCAGGGAGCCAAGTAACTGCTCTGCTTATTAACCTGAGCGTTGGGCCCGGGCCCGGGGCTGGGAGGCCAGGACAGTGCTGACTGCGGGCCTGGAAGGTGTGCTCCGGCCCCACGGGCCGGGAGGGTTCTTGCCTACGCGTCCTGTCCTTCCTGGAAGTCAGGACTCTGCTTCCTCAGGGACCCCGGGCCAGGCAGAGCTCAGTGGCCGCAGGCCGCTCAGTCCCATTGGGGTGTCCTGAGTTAAGCCTGGGGGCCATCCTACCTGCCTGAGAGATGCCCCCAGCACCGCACACTCGTGGTTCCCAATAAACTCCTGCCCGTGGCGGAGGTTTTATAGCAGCAGGTATTTTTAATGCTTTTAAATACATGTTATAATGTAGCTGCAAAACATGTTGCTCTTCTGAAGTCCCCCTGGGGCTGGGCAGAGCCAGCAGAGCCTATCCCCACTCCCCAGCCCTGCCCACCCCGCCTCCCACCTTCCCTCAGGAGAGCCTGCCCCCACTCCAGCCCTGCCCACCCCACCTCCCACCTTCCCCTCTTAGGCTGCTGTTGAGATACTGTGACATCTCTGCGTGTAGTCCCTGCCCCACACTTAGCACGCACAAGGGCCTCCACAGCCCCAGGTGGCCCCAGAAAATGTCCCAGCGCCCAGCTTGGGACACATTGAGAGCAGCTGGCATCGGCCTGAGGGTGGAGGCTGCTTCCTCCTGCTCCTACTCCAGTGGGCATGTCTGAGGGTGGCCCTGTGGGTATCTGGGTTGAGCTTCAGGTTTTGGTGAACGTGGTGCAGGCATCCAGGTGTGTGTGTCACCTGCCACAACACTGGCCAATGAAGACTCCAGCAGGATGGCCTGACCAGAGGGGCCGGCTCTTTGGAGCCGTGGGTGTAGCCAGGTACCCTGTCCAGGGCCTGGGAGCCTCTTCAGTCCACACTCCTCACAGTGTGTCGGGTCCCATGCCCTCCACACAGCAGGAGAGGGGCCTCCCTGACCACATCTGCCCCTCAGTCCTGCTTCTCCCCAGCATGCCTGCACTCTGAGGTCTCCATAGGAGAGAACCAAGGAAGCCAGGGACCCCCAGTGACCCTGGTCACCCCGGGGCCTCTGGGCCTGGTTTTGTAGGATGGAGCACTATGCGAGACTACTCGGAAAGCTGACAAACAGGGCAGGGTGGGCCTTGGGCCTGGGCTGCAGGGGTCTCCACCCTTGCTGGCCTGAGAAATGGTCCATTTCTTGTGATTGCCCTGCTCTTCCCATGCCCCCCAGGTGGCTGAACAGGGTGCTTTTGTTGTGGCGAGGTGCCAGGATGTGACCTGGAGTGGGACCTCAGCTCCCTGGGTTCAGGGCTCAGGTAGCCAGTGTGCAGCGCTGTGTCGGAGCCCCTCCCAACCAGAGCCCCTCCATACCAGGGCCTCCAGCTTCACCTGGGACCAGCAGCCTGAGGCACACCCGGCGGGGAGGGGCTGGGGAGGCCTCCCACTGAATGTGGGCTTCAGGCCCTGTCCCGAGTCGGGTCTGGGGTAAGGGTGTGGGTCCCTGGGCTGACGGCCTCTGACCCTGGCAACGCTCAAACAGGTGAGACCCTGACCCTCCCCCTCATCCCAGCTGCCCAATGCTGGGCTCCAGACCAGAGTGTCTGCTTTTCTTCTCCAGTGTCTTTTTTTTTTTTTTTTTTGAGACAGAGTCTCGCTCTGTCACCCAGGCCGGAGTGCAGTGGTATCGGCTCACTGCAGCCTCTGCCTCCTGGGTTCAAGCGATTCTCCTGCCTCAGCCTCCTGAGTAGCTGGGATTACAGGCACCTGCGACCACACCTGGCTATTATTTTTGTATTTTTAGTAGAGATGGGGTTTTGCCATGTTGGCCAGGCTGGTCTTGAACTCCCAACCTCAAGTGAGCCACCGTGTCCGGCCTGCTCTTCCACTTTCTTTCCCAAGGTCACACTCAGTAGGAAGATGAAGGTGGAAACATCCTTGCCGTGGCTTTCTGGCCTTGGAACAGGTTTTAGAGGAAGGGGCCACAGGCTGCCCAGTGCATCCTGGCTCTGGGCGGCCCCTTTCCTGGAGCCCTCCTGCCCACCCCACACCTCCCCATCTGGCTCGGCAAGGGGATAACATGGCACACTCTCCATCCAGCAGCTGGGGGTTCTGGTGGCATTCCCTGCGCCCCTGGTGCTGCTGGTCTGCAGGTCTGCCTTGCACCCAAGAGCCACTCGCCCATCCGCCACTCCATGCCCAGTGCCACGGGGGTTGGGCTTGCGCTCTGTGCCTCAGTTTCCCCACTGGTTAGGATAGTGGTGTTTCCCCTGCCTACCTCACAGAGCTGTTTGAGGGTGCATGGAGGAGCACTCTGTCCCTCCAAGGACAACTAGAAACCAAAGCCATCTGACAGCCAGTGCGGGCAGGGTGGGGGGCGGGTATGTGAGGTGAGCACACCCCTGAGACCTTGGCCGCGGACTAGCCCCACAGGATGGAAGGCAGCCCTTGTAGAGTTGGGCTCAGCCCCGTCAGTCTCAAAGGTTAGGCCACTGGTCACCACCGAAGTGCCCCTCAGGCCTGGTGGCCACCTTCCACTATTACGTAGACAGACTCCACCCTTCACCCTCCACCAGGCCAGTTGGGGGCCAGCCCTGCTTGGCCCGCTGCCTTCCTCTTCCATGTTAGTCTCTGGGCACACAGGCCAGTGTCCTGGGTCAGTGCCTCGGCCAGAGCTGCGGTCGGAGAGGGCCCCTGGGTGAGAGCTGCGGGGGTGGGGGGGGGCGCTGCAGGGGACTGGCAGCCTCCATGCTGTCCTCATTCCCAGAGGGAAAGACCCGAGTGCCTCTGGCCTTCCTCCGGGAATGAATTCCTCATGAAAACCACCAGGCCGCTTGTTCCGAGGGCCGCCCCTCCCCCGGCCCCGTCCTCCCGCCTGCGGGTGTGGGCTGCCGGGTACCCCTGGAGCCTGACCCTGCGGGTCGTTTCCGCAGAGCCCCCATGCGGTTCATTGTGCATTGTTTGCTTTCTAGGGTGTATGTGTTGCTAGTTTTTCTTTTTTATAATGAAACCCGGCATTAATGTAAATAGCTTTTTGGGGCACGGACTCTGATCTGTCACGTAGTGACCGTGTGGACTATTTAAGGTGCTGATGCGACACTAATAAACCTGGAGGGGCCTGCCCTGCCTGCGGTGTGATTCTCTCGGCCGTCCGCCCCTCGGGGCTCGCGCACAGCGGCCGCAGCGCCTCCCTCCCGCCCACGCGCCCTTTCCCGGGTCCGCCTCGCCGCAGCCCTGCGGCACCGCGCGCCGGGGAGGGGGCCCGGGGCGAAGCGGCATCGCGCCGCGGGAAGGGTGCAGGGCCGAAGGGGGCTCGGGCGGAAGAATTCAAGGCTCAGGTCACAGAAGGGCCCGCGAGGCGGCAGCGGCGATGAACCCGGGTCTGCGCCGGTGACCACGAGGCCGCGCCCGCCCATATACCCCGAAACGGAGCCCAGGACGCAGGCGCGGCGCAGGCCGGAAGCGGAACCGGAACCAATGGGGGCGGGGCCTGCATCAGCGGAAGTTCCGGAGCGAGGCGCCGGCCCCTCGGGCTGCGGTGGACGCCACCCGTCACCCTGTGGCCCCTCCATCCGCGGCGGCTCCGCCCCTCCCTCGGTCTCCGGTCGTCCGCGTTCCCCCCACCGCTGACCGCCTTCCTGTGCGCCCCGCCCCGCGGCGAACCCCAGGGTGCCCTGGGCTTCCAACGTGTGTCCTGAGCCCTTGTCCCCCGGCCGCGCACACGCCCCGGAGAGGGCGGGCACGTAAGGGCTCGGGCTGGGCCCGCCGGGGTGAGGCGTGGAGGTCTCAGGGTCGGGGGCCGTGTGGCGGCAAGAGCTCTGGGGCTTTCCTTCGCCCCGGGCGTCGCAAGGCCGGGCTTGGGAGCGTGTCCGCGGTGCTGGCTGGGGGCGGGTGCCCCTGACACCGGGTCTGGCGGAGGCGTGGAGGCTGCTGAAGGCTGACAGGCTCCCGGGGTAGGGAGGGCAGGGGCAGAGAGGACAGTTCGGGAGGCGGAAGCTGGGGGTCCGCTCCACCCAGAGGGGTCGAGCGTCGGGCTCATTGGTGAGCCCCACCCGGTGATGCTGACCACTGTCTGGAAGGCGACCCTAGCAGACCCTTGACACTGCCACCATCTGACCCCACGGACTCAGGTACTGGTGGGCACACGGGTGGCCTTGGGGGCCCCGCCCCACCTCATCCTGCTCCTTCCCCCATCTCAGAGCTGTGGACAAGCAGTCTGCCAGTGCTAGAGATGGACAGCAGGAAGCTGGCCCCGCAGGGGAAGAAGCTGGAGTTCCACCTCTCCCAAGAGCACAGGTGGCCCCCGCTGGGCCCTGCAGCAGCCTCGGGACAGCCCAGTACCCAGAGCAGCGCTCAGCAGGGACTGCAGACTCAGGACTGGGTAAGCAGAAGGAACCCTGGCTGAGGCCATCCTCCTGGCCCCATCCCGCTTGAGGCCTCTCTCTGGAAACTCCAGGCTGGCCGTGATGGGCAGCCTCAGGGGAGGGCTGAGTGGGGCCTGACAAGAAACAGATGCTGGGTTTGGGGGACTGTCTTCCCATGGCCCTGTACGAGCACCAAGGTGGACCTGCACCCCTCTTGCCTCCAGAACCGTGGGTCACAGGCCTCTGCTGGGCTCTGTAGAGAGGTCTCCTAAATCCAGGAGGGAAGCAAGACAACACACTTGCTTCCACCCTCCCCAGTACCTCTTACGTGAGGCTGAAGGTGGCAGGAAGTGGTAGGGAAAGCAGGGTCTCCAGCAGTGGTGGTGTCCCCCAACCAGCTGGGTCAGCTGTCAGAAGGATGTGTCACTGAAAGTTGACCGAAACAAAATGTTGAGGGTGGCTCTGCTTGTGGCAGCCCCAAACCAGAAACATCTCCTGGTCTCTCCACTGCTGGACAGCAAGCTGCAGGCTTGTGCCTGGCTTAGTAGTGAGAGTGGTGGGAGGCAGCTGCTGAGCCCCAGGACATTCTCTGCGGGCAGAGGAAGCCAGACCCCCCACTTTTGTGGTTCCACTTTTGGAAGGTTGAAAGCCAGGCTCAGAGATGGATCTAGGCTACACGAGATGGCTGCAGGGGCTCCTGAGCCCTGGCAGTGCTTTGATGGCTGGTGCTGTTCATGCGGCCAGGTCAGTGTGGGGAGCTCACTGAGCTGTGCACACAGGCGTGTTTGCGTGTATGTCCCATGGCTGCTCACTGAACCCCCTTTGTACCTTCCCAGTCATGCCCTTCAGGCCCAGATGCCTTCAAGTTCCTATGAGGGTGTCAGGTGCTGGGGAGTGGGGTGACCCCACCAGCAGCTGCAGTGGCTTTTGGGAGGTGAGCATCTCCTGATAGTCAGACTGTAAACACACAGAGGTCACCTGTCTAGTGAGGGCTGCTTGGGAGGAGGGGCAGGGTGTGAGGCTTTTCTTCTGCGCAGGGCTGGGGACAGCGCACTGTGCCTGAAAGGGTAGGGATGTGGACGCAGGAGGAGCATGCATTAGACCCAGGTCCTGCAAGGACACAGGGACCTTGTGGCTCCTGGGCAGGGGCAGCCAGGTTGCATCTGTAGTTCCAAGAGATGGACTGGTAACTGTGGATAATGGTTGTTGAGGATGAGGCTAGGAGGCAGGAGAGTGGGCTGAAGGGCTCTGCGGGCAGGCCGGCAGTGGAGGAATGAGGGAATGAGGTTGTTGGCTAAGGGTAGGTAGGGGCATGGGTGCACCTCTGCTGACCTGACAGGCTTTAGTTTAGGGACAGGAAATCTTCCCTAAAAAAATGTGGGTGCCCAGATGACTTTACAGGTGGACGACACTCCCAAACAAGAAATCAGTCGTCCTCACTGGGGAAGCTTCCCTGCCCAGAGCCACTTCTGGTATGGAGCTGGTATCACCCAGTACCAGTGCCAGAAGAGAGCAGAGGGAGAAAAAGAAGGAGAAAACGACGTGCCAGTCTACCTGTGGCCCTAGATTGAAAAGTCCTGAGTAAGTACTGGACCAAATCCAGTAGCACCCAAAAGGCTGAGTTTCACAGCCGTAAGGATGGGTCCTGTGCGCTTCTGTCTGCCAGGAGAGCAGGCATGGGTCTCTGTTCACAGCTCTGTCCCAGTGCTCAGGATGGGGCCTGGCACAGCAGGTGCTCAGTGAACGTATAGGGAATACGTGAAATTGTATGTAAATCAAAGAGGACTGTAACCCAAGGGTAAAAGAATTTTGAAATTTGTAAATAAAGTTCATTAACAATAAGTGGAAAATCATGATTATCTCAGTGGATGTTGAAAAGTAATAATAAATTCCAGCATCTTCCTTAAGAACAGAAGAAGCACAGAAACCTGCAGGTTCTGGGTAAAATGGGAAGAGATGGACAACTCTAGCCTGACGAAGGGAAGCTCTCAAGAGCTTGCAGTGACCACCATGGAAGTATTTCAGATGGAAGCAGACAGCGATGCATGGTACCACTGTGACATTAAACGGTATTCTGGAAAATCACCCAGTGCAGTGTGTCTCATGCCTGTAATTCCAGCACTTTGGGAGGCCAAGGTGGGTGGACCACCTGACGTTGGGAGTTGAAGCCCCTTCTCTACTAAAAATACAAAAGTTAGCTGGGCGTGGTGGCAAGTGCTTGTAATCCCAGCTCCTTGGCAGGCTGAGGCAGGAGAATCGCTTGAACCTGGGAGGCGGAGTTTGTGGTGAGCCAAGATTGTGCCACTGCACTCCAGCCTGGGCGACAGAGGGAGATTCTGTCTCAAAAATTAATTAAAGAAGTATGGAAATCTGGAAAATGGAGGCCCATACAGTAAATCAAGAAAGTGAGATGTATAAATACGTGAACGTTGAAAATCACTGTTGGCAGCCAATATGCTACCTACGTGGAAAGTCCAGTTTAAGAAACACGAGTAAGGATAAGAGAGGGAGTTTGGATATGTGATAGCCATTTACAACTTTTCGGCACAGTAAAAATAACCAGAAAATGGAATAGAAAAAAAGGATACTATTGCATTTAGCAAGAGTAACTGTGAAGTTCTGTGATACTTCTGTGATACCTGATACTGTGAAATTCCTTTACAAAGAACACCATAAAATGTGCTGAGTAACACGTCGGGCTCCTCGTGGGAACGTGTCTCTTACTTGATGCATAGAGTTCATGTGTTTGTTTTGAGACAGGGTCTCGCTGTGTCACCCAGCTGGGGTACAGCCGCGTGACCACGGTGTTACTGGAAAGGGGGTCTCGGTGCAGATGCCAAGGGAGGGTTTCTGGATCTCAGGCAGGAAGCAGTCTGAGGCGAGCCGCAGTGCAGCGAGATCTTTTCTTCAAAGCCACTGCATCGCAGAGCAGAGCATCCTCAGCCAGCAAGCAGCCTTCCTTGCACCGAGGTCTTCCCTATGTGTAGACTAACCTGAGCTGTGCCTGCGTGTGCGTGGGCTGACGGCATGACAGAACGTGTTATTCCACTGATTGAAAGGAGACTGTCTGACATTTGAGTGCGCCAGTACATGAAAGCGTAACTACAGTCACCTTGAAAGCATGTTGTATTGTGGGCAGTGGGACATCTGAGCTTCCTTTCGCAGGAGTTTGTCCTTGGAGGCATTACCAAGCTGCTTCCTTAGCTGTAAACGTCTTAGGACAGTGGTTATGACCTGCAAGGAATGTGCTCTGTTAGTCTCAAGGTGGAGCTGAGCAAAAGTGACGTTACGCTGGCTCTCCTAGCCTGCTGCTTCTCTAACAACCGCTCCCTACAGCGTGGACCTCCTGGACTCAAACTATCCTCCCACCTCAGCCTCCCAGGTAGCTGGGGCCACAGTCGCGCACCACCATGTGTAGCTAATTTTTAAAATTTCTTGTAGAGACAGGGACTCACTGCGTTGCCTGGTTTGGTCTTGAACTGGGCTCATGTGATCCTTCAGCTTCAGTGTCCCAAAGTGTTAGGATTATAGGCATGAGCCATTGCGCCCAGTCAGATTTAACGTTTTAAATGTGCCAAGCTTCCCCAAAACAACTCAGCGCAACCCCTATTTAAAACTAAAACAAATACAGACTTTTCGACCGGGCACGGTGGCTCACGCCTGTGATCCCAGCACTTTGGGAAGCTGAGGCAGCGGATCATATTAGGTTGGGAGTTCAAGACCAGCCTCACCAACATGGAGAAACCCCCGTCCCTACTAAAAGTACAAAACCACCCAGGCATGGTGGTGCATGCCTATAATCCCAGCTACTCAGGAGGCTGAGGCAGGAGAATCGCTTGAATCCGGAGGTGGAGGTTGCGGTGAGCTAAGATCGCACCATTGCACTCCAGCCTGGGCAACGAGCAAAACTCTTGTCTCAAAAAATGAAAAAACAGACTTTTCATGAATCTTGAAAATTTAATTGTAAATGTACATAGTGATTCTGGAAATGTATTACTAGTTTACTTTTTAAAAATATTAGAGGGTCTCACTATGTTACCTAGGCTGGTCTCTAACTCCTGGCCTCCCAAGGAGCTGGGATCATAGGCGTGAGCCACCATACTGAGCCTGTGACAATGTATTAGTTACCCATTGCTGCAAGACAAATTTCCCCAGAGCTTATCAACTTAAAACAGTAATTATTATTATTATTACTATTTTTTTTTGAGACGGAGTTTCGCTCTCATTACCCAGGCTGGAGTGCAATGGCGCGATCTCGGCTCACCACAACCTCCGCCTCCTGGGTTCAGGCAATTCTGCCTCAGCCTCCAGAGTAGCTGGGAATACAGGCACGCGCCACCATGCCCAGCTAATTTTTGTATTTTTAGTAGAGACGGGTTTCACCATGTTGACCAGGATGGTCTCGATCTGTTGACCTCGTGATCCACCCGCCTGGGCCTCCCAAAGTGCTGGGATTACAGGCGTGAGCCACCGCGCCCGGCCTGAACAGTAATTATTTTTATCTCAGTTTCTGTAGGTCAGAAATTTGCTTAGCTGGTGGCTTTGGTTTGAGATCTCCTAGTAGCTTATAGTTGAGATGGCAGTCAGAACTTCAGTCATCCCAAGGCTTGAGGAAGGCTGGAGGCTGCTTCTATGGCAGCTCACTCACATGACTGGTGAGTCCAGGATAGGGCTGGCAGGCCACCTCAGCTCCTCAGCACACGGATCTTCCCAGAGGACCTCTTCAGTATCCTCACAGTGTGGTGGATGGCTTCCCCTAGAGTGAGTGCTTGGAGAGAGTGAGCTGAAAGCTGCAGTGACACCTTGGCAGTCACACTCCCTTATTTCTGCAGTATCTTTTTGTGATGCGCTGGTCTTCCTATTTAATGTGGGAGGGGATGACACAAGGGCATGAGTACCAGGAGCTGATAATCACTGGATGCCATCCTGGAGGATAGCTGTCACAGGCAGTCACTTAGTTTACAGGGCTTTAAAAGATGATGTGCTGAGAGGCGTAACAGTGAAATTGCAGAATTGCCAGAGGCAAAAACCTCAGAAGCCATTTGAGCGGGAAGACGGAACCTTCAAAGGAGCCACGGTGAGCCTGACGGGAGCCACATGAACAGCCGTGGGAGCTCATTACAGTGGAGCAGTCGCGTGCCTGTGCTCAGGGGAAGTCCTGTCAACCTTGAATAGTAGGCCCAGCAGAAATGCATTCCATGAAGAGGGCTAAAGGTTTGAAATGATAAGCAAAAAAGAGAATTCTTCCCCAGCACTCTCACCTTGGTTCTGAAGAAATGATCTCAAACAGCAGGAAGGTGATCACAGAAGGTCTGAAATGGATAAAGAATGAGAGGAAGTAGGAAGGGCGGGATTTGAAACTGACAGTCACTGGATGTCACTCATGCACAGCAAAGGATTCAATTGGTAGATGCACCTGCAGTGGCGTAGATGTCAGGATGGTGCCTGTGAGTGGAACTAAAGTGTTCTAAGTTTCTGTGTTTCGTGTGTTTGGCCACGATTCCTCACACCTGTAATCCCAGGACTTGGGAGGCCAGGATTGCTTCAGCCCAGCCTGGCAACATGGAAACCACCATCTCTACAAAAGATACAAAAAGTAGTCCCAGCTACTTGGGAGGCTGAGACAGGAAGATCACCTGAGCCTGTGAGGCAGAAGCTACAGTGAGCTAAGACTGCGCCACTGCACTCCTGCCTGGGCGCCGAGAGCCAGACCTTGACTCAAAAGTGATGGAGTTGCTTGGTCAACTTTAGATTTGGATGAGTCTGCACGCCCTCTGCATGCCCTCACTGGCTACAGCAGCAGCACAGAAAGCAATCCAGTGGCAGAGTCACCACTATGTCGCTTAATTCAGTCAGTGAAAATGGACTAAGTGTTCCAGTTAAAAGACAGACATGGGCTGGGTGCAGTGGCTCACGCCTGTAATCCCAGCACTTTGGGAGGCTGAAGTGGGGGGGTCACCTGAGGTGGGGAGTTCGAGACCAGCTTGACCAATATGGAGAAACCCGTCTCTATTAAAAATACAAAATTGCACTGGGTACAGTCACTCACACCTATAATTCCAGCACTTTGGGAGGCCAAAGTGGGTGGATCATGAGGTCAGGAGTTCAAGAGCAGCCTGGCCAACATGGTGAAATCCCGTCTCTACAAAAAATATAAAAATTAGCTGGGCATGGTGGTGCATGTGTAATCCCAGCTACTCGGGAGGCTGAGGCAGGAGAATCACTTGAACCTGGGAGGCAGAGGTTGTGGTGAGCCAAGATTGAGCCACTGCACTCCAGCCTGGGCGATGCGAGTGAAACTCTGTCTCAAAAAAAAAAAAAGCCAGGTACGGTGGCTCATGCCTGTAATCCCAGCACTTTGGGAGGCCGAGGCAGGTGGATCACAAGGTCAAGAGATCGAGACCATCCTGGTCAACGTGGTGAAACCCTGTCTCTACTAAAAATATAAATATTAGCTGGGCATGGTGGTGCGTGTCTAATCCCAGCTACTCGGAAGGCTGAGGCAGCAGAATCACTTGAACCCAGGAGGCAGAGGTTGTAGTGAGCCAAGATTGCACCACTGCACTCCACCCAGGGTGACAGAGCAAGACTCTTGTCTCAATAAAAAAAAATTAGCTGAGCATGGCTACTTGGGAGGCTGAGGCAGGAGAATCGCTTGAACCTGGGAGGCTGAGGCAGGAGAATCGCTTGAACCTAGGAGGCAGAGGTTGTGGTGAGCCAAGATTGAACCACTGCACTCCAGCCTGGGCAACACGAGTGAGACTCTGTCTCAAAAAAAAAAAGAGAGACAGACAGGGTCAGAATGGGTTTAAAACAAGCAACTGCACAGTCAGCCTGTGAGTGTGTTCGGGGAAGCACAGGAAGATTCCAGCCCTGGGGTGAAGACGTCACCGAACAGCCGGGCATCAGTTCACATCGCGCTTTTCAGTCACACTTACCTTGGGCTGGGGAGTGAGTGTGTGGACGCCTGTTGCCTGCAGCAGCGAGTGAGTCTCACAGACCTACTCCTGCGTGCAAGAGGCAAGTGACAAAACTATTCCTGCCACGTGGCTTTGTGCAGAGTTCAAAAGCATGCAGAAGTATACAAGATCATTGCTAATATTCCTTAAAGTATAATTTGGGGGAAAAAAGATGTTTTAAAATGTTTTCTTGGAAAAGGAACCTGGCAACGAGTTTGGAAGTAAGAGAAAGGCCCGGCTTGCCGCTCCAGCGACGAGAGCTGTGTGACCCTGCGGCGGAAGGTGGCGAAGACGCCACTGCCCGGGACGAGTGCCCCGGAAGCCGACCTGTGCATGAATGTGGGGATTTAACATGTGCTGAGCATGGCATTTCAGAGCAGTGAGAAGCAGACCTTTCAACAAGTGGCATTGGGTGACAGGCTGCATAGTTAGAAGATGAGAGTGCCCCCCCCACCCCCCCCCGCTCAAAGGCCGCGCACACACACAGCACACAAAACACTCAACCCAAACCACGTAAGCCCTGGGAGAGTGTACGGGAGGACGTTTAGGGTCTGGAAGTGGTAAATGCCTTTCGTAAGCTGGACAGACAGTCCTTAAGGCACAGCCTGACAAATCTGACTGCAGAGTTTTTACCCATTTCTGTGCAGTCAAAGACACGAAAATGGTAAATGACAGTCTGGAAGAAAATACTTGTAACATTTATGACCTTCAAATGTTTACCAACCAGGATCTATGAAGACGTGCTTCAAAGCAATGAGGAAACTATTTTAAAAACTGATTAGAAAAGTGGGCCAGGCACGGTGGTTCACCGCGGTAATCCCAGCACTTCAGGAGGGCAAGACAGGAAGACACTTGAGCCCAGGAGTTCAAGACCAGTCTGGGCAACACAGTGAGACCCCACCTCTGCAAGAAATGAAAGAATTAGCCAGGGCTGGGCGTGCTGGCTCACGCCTGTAATCCCAGCACCTTGGGAGGCCGAGGCGGGTGAATCACGAGGTCAGGAGTTCAAGACAAGCTTGCCCAAGACGGTGAAATCCCCCTCTACTAAAAATACAAAAATTATCTGGGCATGGTGGTGTGTGCCTGTAGTCCCAGCTACTCAGGAGGCTGAGGCAGGAGAATTGCCTGAACCCAGGAGGTGGAGGCTGTGGTGAGCCGAGATTGCACCATTGCACTCCAGCCTGGGCAACAGAGCAAGACTCAGTCTCAAAAAAAAATAAGCCAGGCTGGGGTGCCTCTAGTAGTCCCAGCTGTTGGGAAGGCAGAACGAGACCCCGTATCTTAAAAAAAAGAATGCAGTTCCAAAAAATGGGGTGCGGGGAACAAAATGAAGTGAAACAGCAAGTGACAAAGCAAAAATCACAAAGGTAGATGCGCGTGGAGCAGGTGAGGGTGTGAGGAAACAGCAAGTCTGTTACTGGTTTTTCAGAGGGCCCCTCTGATCATTATTCATTATTATTATTTTTTTTGAGATGGAGTTTCGCTCTTGTTACCCAGGCTGGAGTGCAATGGCGCGATCTCGGCTCACCGCAACCTCCGTCCCCTGGGTTCAGGCAATTCTCCTGCCTCAGCCTCCTGAGTAGCTGGGATTACAGGCACGCCCCACCATGCCCAGCTAATTTTTTATATTTTAGTAGAAATGGGGTTTCACCATGTTGCCCAGGCTGGTCTCTTAACTCCTGAGCTCAGGCTATTCACCCACCTTGGCCTCCCGAAGTGCTGGGATTACAGGTGTGAGCCACTGCACCCAGCCAATTTAAAAAATTTTTTAGACATGGGATCTCACTTTGTTGCCTCGGCTAGAGGGCAGCGGCACCATCACGGCTCACTGCAGTCTTGAACTCCTAGCCACAAGTGATCCTGCCACCTCAGCCTCCTGAGTAGCTGGGACTACAGGTGCACGCCCCCATGCCCAGCTAATTATTTTTTGTAGAGGTGAGGTATCCCTATGTTGCCCAGGCTGGTCTTGAACTCCTCCGCTGGGGTCAAGCCATGCTTCTGCCTAAGCTTCCCAAAGGGTTGGGATCACAGACAAGAGCCACTGCACTCTGCCGTCGTTTCTAAATCAGCTGGCATTTCAGCCTTGATTTTCTTCACTCCGGAGGTAATGGGAAGGGTCTTTTGGAATGTGGATGTCAGTAGGAGCGTTTTGTTACCCTTCTGTTGTTAGCTTCTCACCGTCACTTGGTGCCTGCAGAGCCCTGTATTGTGGGCATCTGTGCACTGGGGTCTGTTTCGTCTGTGGCCTGAAGTGTGGCCAGTTCACGTACCTGTGGGGTGTGTTTGGTAAGAGCATGGATCATCTGTGGGTTCGGGAGTTCTGTGCATGTTCTCCTGTGTCTGCTGGGTCACTCATTACTTAAATCTTTACTTTCTAAATTTTAAATTACTTTTGTTAAAACATACACATACATATTGAGAACAGGAGTCCCCAAAGCCACTCTCAGCCCTTGCAGCCGCCCCCACTGCACACGGAGGTGAGAAGTGTGCTTTTGCCTCTGGCTGCCTCCTTTCATTCCTCCGTTCCACGGTCCACACGAGGCGACGGTGGCGGCCCCTCCCCATCCCCCGTCCTTCTGCCAGCATCCCTTCAACTCAGCAGAAACCCGATTCCACTGTCAGCTTTACGGTGACCATGTGGCATATCATGACCATGGCGTGGCCGTGTTTCCTTTGTACTGCTCTTGGTTTTTTCTGGGGGAAACCATTGTTTACCCTCCTCCTCCTCTTCTCCATTTTCTATGAACTGATGATTCTTTCCCAAACTTTCCAACAAATCTGGGACTCTCCTCTCACAGACCCTACACGTCAGGTCTGGAGCTGCATCTTTTCCTGGGTAGTGGCCTTTCTGGAGCCCTGGGCTGCCAGCAGCCAGCCCAGCTGTCAGGGTCCCTTAGCAGCCCCCCGCTCCCTCCCCCGACACCCCCAACACCCCACCTGCCTCCTGTCCACGGGAGCCCTGGTTTCCTGCCCCTCCTGTGCGCCTTGGTTACCCCTTTGTTTTGCTAGAATGCATCTAGCAGCTTCCTCCAAAAAGGTTCAGAGGATGTGAAAGTTTTTGAGACTCTAAAGATGAGAAAATCTTTATTCTGCCTGCAAGCTTGAATGATGCCTTGGTTGGGTAGAGATCTAGGTGGGAAATCATTTTCCGTCAGGATTTTAAGGCGTTGTCCATTGCCCTATAGCTTGCAGTGCTGCTGTGTGATGCCCTGGACTATTCAGAATGTTTTTTTGAGACAGTCTTTCTTGCACTGTCACCCAGGTTGGAGTGCAGTGGTGCAGTCCTAGCTCACTGTGGCCTCCAGCTCCTGGGGTGTTCGAGGGAATCCAGTGATCCTCCCCGCTCAGCCTCCCAAAGCGCTTGGATTACAGCTACTGGGCCCAGACAGAATTTTCTTACATTTTATCCTTCTTTCTCCCTTCCTTCCTTTCTCTTTCTCACTTCCTTTCTCTTCCTTCCTCTTTCTCCCTCCCTTCCTTTCTCTTTCTTCCTTCCTTCCTTTCTCTTTCTCACTTCCTTTCTTCTTTTTCAGTCTTTATCACCCAGGCTGGAGTGCAGTGGGAAAATCACAGTTCACTGCAGCCTCAACCTCCTGGGTTCAAGCAGTCTCTGCCTCAGCTTCCCCAGGAGCTAAGACTGCAGGCATGTGCCACTGAACATGGCTAGTCTTATACTTTTCCTGTAGAGACAGGGTCTTGCAGGCTGGTTTAGAACTCCTGGCCTCAAGTGGTCCTCCCGCCGTGGCCTCCCAAAGTGCTGGGATTACAGGCGTGAGCCGCCCGCTCAGCCCAGCCTCACTTTTTCAGGCTTAACGTTCCATTTATGCATCTGGCACCTTTGCTTTATCCATCCATGTGGAAACCTGGGGTCCCTCTGCACGTTTGCTCTTGTGAATGATGAGAGCCGCTGTGAGCATTCCCGACCCGGGTTTGTGTATCTGTTCGCCTTTGTGCCTCCAGCTCTTTTGGGCATACGCCCCGAAGTGGCAGTTCTGTGTGTAATTCTGTGGGAGTGAGCGCTTCACCTTGAGTTTGCATTAATGACTCCCTTCTCTCCATCTCCCCCTTCCCAGGGTGAGGGAGGTGGGGGATGGTGGACTTTTGGCTGGGCAGAATGTGGAGGAACCTTCTCATGCAGCCCACGTGGGAAGTTCCTCCCTGGGGGATAGGGTCATCCTGGGAGACCCCACCTGTTTCTGGTCTTCTCCTGTGGCCCTCCCATGGCTCCTCCAGCTGGCCCCCTCCCAGTCTCCTGGGCTCTGCCAGGGGCCCTCCTCCACTGGTGCTGGTCTTTCGTCTGTGTGGACTCACGATCTTTATTCTCCCTAACTCTATGATCATTTCAGAGGGGTCTGAGCAGGCTGGAACTGGCCAAGTCCTGCCTTTCCTGAGGCACAGGATTGCGGGAGCTCCAGGGGTCCCCCTGCCGGCCAAGCCGGGCGCCAGCTGTGAAGACTTCCCAGTCCAGGGGCAGCCCCGCTGTACCTGAACTGGGGCAGGTACTGGGTGGAGGGGGTCGTGGCACAGATCACTGGGCAAAGCCACAGAGGGCCACACAGCCAGAGGCCCTGCGCCAGGAGCTGGCGCTGGAGCAGCGGGAGGCTGAGCAGATGGCGCTTTATAGAAAGGCCCCTGGCCACTGAGGGTGTGGGGGTGCTGGTTAGGGGCAGCAAAGGGGAACTGATGCCGAGGCCCGCGCTGACCCGCTGCCCTGTCCCTGCAGGTGAGTGAGCCGCCGGAGCGCAGGTGCCCGGGCCGCCACTGGAGTGTCAGCATTGATGAGCGCCGGCGGCTGGCCATGCTGGGCGGCTGGGAGAGGCCGGGCACCGCTGGGGGCCCGCACCACTGCAGGGTGTGCAGGGGTGGGTCCTCCCTGCCTGTCCCTGCCCCACCTCGCCCATCCCTCCACCTCCCCTGCCTCGGCTCAGTTCCACTGGGCCCTTTGCCCTGGCGTCCCCGGGCCCCACCCTTGTCCCCTTCCTACCCAGCAAAGTTCCCTGACCCACCCTTGCCTGCAGGACATCGGACAGATCGTGGCCCAGCTGGTATCGGAAGACGTGGACAAGGACGTGCTCTTTCCCCACCCAACGAGGTCCAGCCATCCACCAATGCCTTCCTGGCCCGGAGTGCCCCTTTCTGGCATAACATGACTTTCAAGGCCCAGGCCTCGAGGTCACCCCACTCCTAAGAGCCTGACTCAGACCAATGTCTGTCTGCTAGTGCCTTTCCTTGGGGGTCCTGGGTGGGGGTGGCCTCTGCACCTTCTTTATGCCCCACCAGGGGGTCGAGATCCACCTACAATGGTAAAAGAGGCCTGGCAGGACCTGGCTCCAGACAGCCTGCAGCTCCTGAGGCCTTGGGGACCGGGCCAGGGGCCATGGGAGGCCACCTAGGGGAGGGTTGCACTGCCCCAGCTCGGTCTAGGGGGGCCCTGGCAAGGCCTGGGGTGCAGGAGCTTGCCCTCTGGGCTGCTGGGAGGAGGCCTTGGGGCACCTGGGCCTGCCTGGGGTGCACTGGTGTCCCAGGAGACCCCACTGGCAGGCACTGCCTAGAGACTCAGCTCCTTTGCTGGCCTGATCTGGGAACTGGGCACCTGCCTGCATCAGGCTGTGAGATGGGCCAGGCAGGGTTCTCCAGGGGCAGGGTCTCATAGTGGTCCTGCCTCTGAAGACCCAGCAAGGCACACGGGCCCCCAGGGGTGCTGTGGTGGGAAGCAGCAAGCCTGGGAATCCAACGTGGTGCCCGGCACACAGGGAGGCTTCATGGAGGCGGAGATGCCCCCTGGCCTCTGGATGATGGTGAGGGTGGTGGACAAGGGCCAAGAGGGCACCCTGCATAGGAGGGCTGGGCAACTTGTGAGGAGCCGGCTGGAGCAGGGGCCTGTGGGTTTGTGGCCCCCAGGGTGACTCCCACATTTATAGGCCGTAGGGTCCTCAGGAGGATCCTGAGCTGGGGTGGTGTGTCGCAGCTGCATTTTGGGGACACTGAGTTACAGGGGGACTGGTTTGGGAGGCAGGGCAGGAGGGCTGTGAGCATGGGTTCCCAGCCTGGGGTAGGTGGGGGTGGGGAAAGGGCACTGGACTCCGAGTGTTAGGGGCCTACCTGGGCTTCTGTGGAGGTGGCTGGGTGGAGGAGGCTTCGGGGCCAGTGGAGGTGATCACTCCTGAGCCCCAGGTGAGGGCAGGAGCCAGGCCCGTGTGGCAGCCTGGACACCACATACTGGCTGTGCTGCCCACCTGGACCCCACCCCTCCCCTTCCTGCTGCTGAGAAGCCACCTGACTGCTCTGCCAGCCCCTGCTTCCCTGACACTGGATCCCTGGCCTGACTTGAATCCTCTGCACCTGCCTGTCTCTCCTTACTGTAAGACTCAGTGAAGTTCCCTCCTCCTTCAGGAAGCCTTCCAAGATGACACAGCCAGGTGCCCCCTTCTCTCCTGAGTCCTCTGAATGTCATTTGGTGCACCCTAGGGATCCTCTGCATTTCTCAGGAGCCCTAGGGTATATGGATGGAGGGCAGACTCACTGGGGGTGACAGCAGGTGTCCTTAAGGATGTGGGGGAGTTTTAGGCAGGATATTGGGGCCATCAAGACCCCCTCTCAGGCCCCTGATGATGAAGTGGGGAATGGGGTCCCATGGACCCAGCTCTGTGGCAGGCAGGAAGATGTGGGTGAGCCCTGCACCCCGAGGCGTAAGCAGGGCAGAGTGGAGCTGACAGGTAAGCAGGTGCCATGGGGGTGACGAGCTGGGCCATCATCCTTTTGCTGAGTGGTTTTAAAGGATCCTGGTTGTTATGGCTGTGATGTGGGGGTTGGCTGGGCTCATCCCACCAGCTCTCCTGCTCTTGTTTGGGTGTCTCCTGAGGCCACTGGGGATGCTGGGATGGTTGACCTTTCTGCTCCATGAGATCTCCCTGCAGAGCACCTTCTCCCTGGCAGCAGCAGAGGCAAAGCCCTGGCCTCCTTCAGGCTGAGACCCAGAGCCAGCCTCCTGGTGGGTAAGGTGGCGACAGGGCCAGCCGGTGGCAGGGGTCCTGGCACTGAGAGGCACAGGCCTCTCCAGCAGAGGTGGTGCGGGGACGGGGCAGTGCCTGGAGACTGCCTGGCTTGTCACAGCTGGGATCTGTGTACTATTTTTCTGTAGCTGCCATAAAAATTGCCCTATATTCAGGAAATTTGTTTTTGTTTCTTTTGTGTGTGTGTGTGTGGGGGGGTGTCTTGCTATATTGCCCAGGCTGGTCTTGAACTCAAGTAATACCCCCACCTTGGGCTTCTGGGTACCCGGGACTGCAAGTGCATCCCAGCACACCTGGCTTTTTTTTGAGATGGAGTCTCACACTGTCGCCCAGGCTGGAGTGCAGTGGCACAATATCGGCTCACTGCAATTTCTGCCTCCTGGGTTCAGGCCATCTCCTGCCTCAGCCTCCCAAGTAGCTGGGATTACAGGTGTATGCCACCATGCCCGGCTAATTTTTTTATTTGAAGTAGAGACAGGGTTTCACCATGTTGGCCAGGATGGTCTCGACTTCCTGACCCCGCCTCGGCCTCCCAAAGTGCTGGGATTATAGGTGTGAGCCACCGCGCCCGGCTTTTTTTTTTTTTAAACACAGTTTTGGTATGTTGCCCAGGTTGGTCTTGAACTCCCGGACTCAAGCAATCCTCTTGCCTCGGCCTCCTGAGTAGCTGGGGCTACAGGAGTGTTCCACTGGTGCCCGGCTTTGAGTGTTTTAAAACAACACAAATCCATTCGCTAAGTTTTGTAGAAGTTCAAAATGGGTATCTCTGGGCTCAGTGAGGGGTTGGCGGAGTTCTGCTGCTTCTGGAGGCGCCAGGGGAGACTCTGTTTCCTTGATTTTTCCATCCTCAAGAAGCCACCCACGTTCCTTGGCGGGTAGTTGTGGCCTCCTGAACCTCCGGGCCTCTGTCTGCCCGCCTGTCCTCTGCCTCCCTCCTGCATCGTGAAGCACCCTTGTGGTGACGCTGGGCCCCCAGGATCGCCTCCCTGCCCTCGGCCGCGCCGTTGGCGCCCTTCCTCGCTCTCTGCCTGTTAACCCGGCCTGCTCGGAGGCCTCTGCGGGAGGGCGTTCTGCCTTCCCCCGCGGCTGCCGGCACCTGGTGGGTGGAGGCCCGGGCGCTGTGCCGCTCAGGACCCCGCAGTGCGCGGGCAGCCCCAAGGGCCCGGCAGGAAGCCCTGGGGCAGAGGAGGGCGTGCGGGGCGGGATCGCACGGAAGCCCACCTGGCTAGGGGAGGGGCGCTCGTCCCGGGAGGGTGGAGGGAGGGGCTCCGAGGCGCGCGGAATCAAGGGGGGGCGGGAAGGATCCTGGGAGGGGAGTGGGGCCCCCGAATTCCCGCAGCAGCAGTGTGGTGCTTAGGCCGTCGCCCCCCCCCCCCGCCACTGCGCCTCCCCACCCGCAGGCCTCGCAGCGCCACGCCGGGCAGCGTTTAGGGGCTCCTGGGGACGCGGTCTCCGGCTCGCAGGCCCGCCCAGGGGTGGCCGCGTGGTCCCCCGGGCTTCCCACGCCCGATTCGAACTGTAACACCGGCTGGCTCGGGACCGGGCCGAGGCCGCTCCGGCACCATCGCAGGAGCCGCACGGGTCCGGGCGCGGAACGGGGCGCGGGGTGCCTGGGAGATGTAGTTCGCGGCCTTCCTCCGCGCACCAGACAATGCCCGGCGCTGCCCGGCTGCAGAAGCACCGCTCGCTCTTCATACAGCATCGAATACAGCTTTCAACACTCGCCACAGCGTCCTCCGCGGAGTAACAGCTGTTCACATTGCCTGAAGGTCACCCTAGATATTTCTCAATGTGTACGACATAAAAGGATGTGTGCAAATGGAGAAATTCGTGTCGAGCTGCTACTTATACCCTTTTAAATAGTTAAAGAAAAAAACTGCTAAAGGCAGATGAACGCTACTTCGACTCAATTTTTTTTTGAGACGGAGTTTCGCTCTTGTTACCCAGGCTGGAGTGCAATGGCGCGATCTCGGCTCACTGCAACCTCCGCCTCCTGGGTTCAGGCAATTCTCCTGCCTCAGCCTCCTGAGTAGCTGGGATTACAGGCACGCACCACCATGCCCAGCTAATTTTTTGTATTTTTAGTAGAGACGGGGTTTCACCATGTTGACCAGGATGGTCTCGATCTTGACCTCGTGATCCACCCGCCTCGGCCTCCCAAAGTGCTGGGACTACAGGCTTGAGCCACCGCGCCTGGCCTCGACTCAATTTTAAAAGTCTCCTACAATGGCTGGGCCCCTGGCTCGGGCCTGTAATCCCAGCACTTTGAGGGGCCAAGGCGGGCAGATCGCTTGAGCTCAGGAGTTCCAGACCAGCCCAGGCAACATGGTGAAAACTCCATCTGTACTGAAGATAGAAAAATTAGCGGGGTGTGGTGGCATGTGCCTGTAGTCCCAGCTACTTGGGAGGCAGAGGTGAGAGGATTGACTGAGCCCAGGAAGCACAGCTGCAGCCACCTGAGATAGCCCCACTGCACTCGAGGCTGGGGGACAGAGTGAGACCCTGTCTCCAAAAAAAAAACAGTCTCTGATGATTATTTTTAGAAATTACAAAAGCACTAAGAGATGGGTGTGTCTGGTTTTCAGCAGCATGGCAGGGTTGGGCTGAGTGGTAAAGAACTGGCGCGGACATTTCCGTGTGCCCCTGGCAGGCCGTTTTGTACCTGAAAGTCAAAGCTCACTGCCAGATTTTGACCCACTCAGTCTGTTTCGATTCACAGCGTTACTGGCTGGATTTAAGATCACTTTGCTGTTGTTGAGACAGGGTCTTGCTCTGCCACCCAGGCTGGAGAACAAAGGTGCTGTCTCGGCTCACTGCGACCTCCGCCTCTCAGGCCCAAGCCATCCTCCCCGCCTCAGCCTCTCAAGTACCTGGGACTACAGGCGGGCACCACCACGCCCAACTAATTTTATATTTTTAGTAGAGATGGGTTTTCACCCTGTTGCCCAGGCTGGTCTCGAACTCCTGGCTTCAAGCGGCCTGCCCAAAGTGTTGCGATTTCGGAGCCAGAACCCTGGTTTTCCGCACTTTATTCTTTTCCCCTCCAAGCTCACAAATGCCCTGAAGGCATGGGCGTTGTCTCCTTACCCGCCAGGGCCTAGAGGGGCCTGCAGCTCCAAGGTGTTAACAGTTACTAAATGAGTACAGGGTTGTGTTAATCACTTTGTCTTGCTCTGAAATGACCTCAAGACTTTTCTCTCTTCGTAACTTGATATTCTGCCTTTTGCGGTTTTTAACTTAATCTAGCAAAGGTGCGATTTTGGTGCTCTCGGGTGTCCTTGGCTCTTAAATCTTCCTCCCAGCCTGCAGTTTGGTCGTCTAGTATTTGAGTTCCTGACTGTTGAATTCCTGCTCCCATGAAGACGGAAACAGTCCTGTGGAGTCCTCTTCTGTTTCTCCAGTTGTGTTTTTAATTCATTATTTATTTTTTTGAGACGGTGTCTCACTCTGCCGTCCCCAGGCTGGAGTGCAGTGGTGTGGTCTCGGCTGCAACCTCCAACTCATGTGATTCTGCTGCCTCAGCCTCCTGAGTAGCTGGGACGACAGGTGCCCACCACCACACCCAGATACTTTTTTTGTATTTTTAGTAGAGATGGGGTTTCACCATGTTGGCCAGGCTGGTCTCGAACTCCTGACGTCAGGTGATCCTCCTGCCTTGGCTCCCCAGAGTGCTGGGATTACAGGCGTGAGCCACCTCGTTCAGCCCAATTTCGTTTCCTTCCACACCAGGTTTCTTGCCAGCCGCTCACGCCCTCCCTGCTTGTTTTTCTGTTGTTGAATGACATGGATGTGGTCACCTGCCACCTCCCAGCGTGCTCCCACCTCAGCCTCCGGATATATGCCACTGCTTCGCTCCACACGAAAGCTCTCCTCGGTGTCTATTTGCTCTGCTACGAAGTGGATGCATTCTTTTAATTCTTTGCTTTTATTGTTTGACTCACCCGAGGTCTTCGGACTTTGCCTCTGTGCTGGTCCAAGGACAGTCCACCTTTCTCACCGGTTTGGAGAGCTGGAGGCAGAGTAGGGTCGGCGGGAGGAGCGGGGCTCCGTGCTGTCTTTGAGAGTTTACTGAACGTCACTCTGCATGGTGGGGGGGGTGTCCTCTCCACTGGGGGCCTGGCTTGAGGTTCAGAGGGCCTCCCTGCGACACCAGACCCTGCGCCGTGATCCTCGGAAGGCCAGCCTCGACTGCCCCACCGTCTGCCAGTCTCTCCACCCGCACGGGGAGAAGCAGCAAAGGCTGCTGTTTTCAGGAGGCTCCTCTCCGGGCTGGGGTGGTGTGTCTGTCAGTCAGGATGTGTCCACCGGGTTCTCACTGTGAAGCTCGTCCTGTTTCTGGGGTGGCAGTGGGAGCAGCGTTGGGGGCGCTCCCCATGCCTCCCAGCTGCCTGGCACGTTCTGGTGTTTCTGGCTAACTTGCCGGCCATGCCAGGCGTTGGCAGAAGGAGATCTCAGGCCGCAACTCTGCTTTCCTGCTAAGGAGCCGAGGTAGGCTGGGGCTGTAGGGCCGGGGGAGACCAGCAGCCCCACCTCCTTCCTGGGAAGTCGACGCCTGTCTTTCATCGCCCCCTCCGGCACCTGGCTGCCGGCTCTCCCCTCTTCCCACCCAATCACCAGCAAGCCAGCTCCTGTTCCCTGCAGCCCACAGGACGGGTCCTGGGACCCACAGCCCTCTCTTCCCGGAGACACGACCGCCCTGTAGTTCCCGGGCCTGTGCTAACCCTGGCAGGGCTTTCCTTTCTGGTCCGCTCCGCAGCCATAACGTTGTGGCCCTGCTCTCCTTGGACCCCACCTGACTCTCCTCCCAGCACATGCTGTTCCCTGCCTGCCGGGCTGGGGTCCCCATGCTCTCTCCCCGGCACCCTGACCACGTCCGTCCCACCTGCCTAGATCTTGCACCGCAGCCTCAGGGCTCCCTCCATGTCCTGCAGGGAGGCATGTCCCAGACAGACCGCAGCTCCTTCCAGCCACGCACCCACCTCCAGCATCTGAGCGGGCAGGGCCGTGACCCACGGTGCTGCTCACATCAGCAGCCTGGAGCCATGAGACACCTGCTTTTCCTCACCTCCGAAACTGAGGCTGCACCCATCTCGAAGCCATTCTGAGACCACCTGTTTCTCTCCATCTGGGAAGCCCCCTTCCCGCCTCATGCTCTTCCTGGCTGGGGCGTCTGGGTCACTGGACTCTCCTATCCTCAGACCTGCGCGAAAACACACAGGGAGGCATCCTGACAGGTGGCTGGAAGGAAGGCAGCTGCCCCACTGTGGAGAGAGTGCGGCCCTCCTGGACTCCAGCCCTGCTGGGACTGGCAGGGTCGGCAGGTGCTGGGTTCCAGCCTCAGATGGGGACTTTGGAGGTGGCCTCTGAGCACAGGCACCTCCTCTGTGGCCTTCTCACCAGGTCACAGTTCAAGGAGGCTTTGCAAGCTACGGGGCCTGCCCACAGCAGGGCACTCATGGCCACCTGTCCAGGGTGCCAGGCGGGCTGGGCGGCGAAGGCCAAGGGCACACACTCCCTAGGGTGGGGGGAAAGGTTAGGCCTGGAGGAACTTGTGGAGTGGAGACCCCGAGGCCAGGCCTGGGCCGCTGAGCTTCAGGGCCCTTGGGGGGCTCAGGGAGGAGTGCGGAGGACCCCAGCACCACGAGGAAGCCCTGGAGAGCTACGGCAGGACTCACCTGCGGGGCACCGGGACGGTCCCCAGGGAAGGGGCCCCTGTGGAGGACCCCCCTGGCCCCAGGGCAGTAGGGGAGGATCTAGCTCGGAGTGCGGCTGGAAGGGCCCACCCAGGAAGCGGCGCGCGGGGAGGACTCCGGGCCCCGGGAAGGGGCGCGCGGGCCGCGGGCGGCGCGGGGTCGGTAACGGCCCGCGCGGTGGGCGGTGGCGCCCGAGGCCCCTCCCCGCCGCCCGCGGCCGCTCCTCCTCTTCCTCTCCCGCCCGCGCCGCGGCCCTCCCGTCCCTGCGCGGCCTCGGCGGCCTCGGCGGCGGCGGCGGCGGCGGCGGCAGCAGCGCGGCCCCTTTAAACGCCCGCGGCGCCCCCCGCCCCCGCCATCGCGCCTCCATTTTCCCGGCCGCCCGCGCCGAGCGCCGCGCCCGCCCCGGGCCCCTCCGCCGCCGCCGCCGGCCCGGACATGGCCGCCAACATGTACAGGGTCGGAGGTAAGGCCGCGCCGCCTTTATGCCCGGCCCCGGCCGCCGCCCCCGCCCCTGCGCCCCGCGGCCCCGGCCCTTCCCGAGCAGCCCCCGCCGCGCTCGCCCCAACCCAAAATGGCCCCGCGGGTCGGCCCCATCGGGGGCGGGCGGGGCGCGGCGGCCGGGGTGGGGGGCGGCCCACCTGTTGGGGCGGAGGGGGCGGCCGCGGGGGCGGGGAGGGGCGCGGGCGGCGGGGCCATCGGGGGGCCGGGGCCGGGAGCCCCCAGCGGGAGCACGTGGCCTTGGGAGGCGCCGGCTGCCGGGCTGGGAGCCGGAGTTGTGGGGTGTGGGGTCTCCCCCGGCCCGCAGGCCCGTGCTGGGACCCCGGTGCATCGCCCCGGGGATGGGGAGCCCCGGCGAGGGCCCGCGCTCCTCCCCAGAGCCCTCCTGCAGCCTGGCCGCGGGGCTTCCCCCAGCAGGGCTCCCTCGGGGGTCGTCCGCGGGGAGCGAGCATCCGGAGCACGCCTCCAAGTCCCCCCAAACTTTTCCCTGCCTCCCGCTCACCTCAGCCCAGTCGGGAGGCGCTTTGCAAGGGCTGGGGAGAGGCCGGAGGGCCCCCTGGGCCGGGGCCGGGGCCGGGGACTGCCTCCCTGGGCCCAGCCTCCTGTTGCTCGGGCCCCTTGGGCCTGCAGCTTTGGGCCTTGCCCTACTTCGTGTGCCTGGGACTCCGTGGGGTCTTTCACAGGGAGGTGGGGGGTCGCGCGCATTCCATCACTCCGTCAGCGCCCCCCTCCCCGGGACTCTGAGACCCCTCCCTGCCGGTGACCCTCTCGGCAGGTGCCCATTACTTCCCCCACCTGCAGCCTGCGCTGCTGCAGGGAGCTGGGGTCACTGCCGCGCTGGCCTGGTCCCCACTGCCCTGGCCCCGAGTGCCCAGAACGCTCTGTGTCCCTCGAGCGTGGCTTCTGCTACCTTGGACGTTTGTGTGGTCCCACCGGCCAGCCCTGTGACCTTGGGGACGGTGGAAGCCCCCTACACCCGTCCGTCTGTGACATGGGTGCTCAGTCCGCATCAGCAGCTCGCGGCCCCGGGCCTCTGCAGGGGCGGTGGGCCTGTTCTCCATCCCGCGGCTGCCCCTCCCACAGCCTCACACACCTTTGCCGGGTCCGTGTGTGGACACAGGTGGGCTTGGGCCCACCCCTTGCCCAGGGATCAGCCTGGGTGCGGGGTCCCTCGTGGGAGGGGCCTGCTCCTCCTTGTTCTTTCTCCCCACCTGGATACCCCCTTCCAGCCTGACATGAGGGCCAGTTTCTCACCCTGGTACAGAGGATGCCTACTGCCTGGCTCAGCTGGGCCTACTGCGCATGGTTTTGGGATTGGTCCCAAGAAGAGCCCTCCCTGCCCCCACCCAGGATGGGGGTGGGGAGTGAAGGCGGCTTTGGACTCTAGGGCTGGGGCTACCTGGACCCCGGCTCATGCCTTCCCAGTGGCGAGTGGCTGCGTGCTTGGCCTTCAGGCCCCCCTGCCTGTCAACTTGGCACCAGCCTGGCCGCCCCCTCCACCTTCCTGTGCCTTGGTTTCCCCTTGGTGTGGGTGAGGACCTTGTGTCTCAGCCGTCCTGTGCCCAGTGGCTGAGAATGCCAGGGCCCTGCTCATCCCGTCGCTGAGCTGCAGCCCCTTTGGGTGCTGCACAGGCTTGGGAGGAGCCCTGAGTGGGGCTGCGTGACACTCTGTCCCCCGCACCCTCTGTTACCCCATGCCCACAGGCCCGTCCTGGGGCCTCACTGACCCAAGTGCACCAGTGCTGTGAGGGTGGGTGGACTGGACCCCGAAGCTGCTGCAGAAGGGCCCACTGTGCCTGGCAGAGATGCCGCTGCTCTCTTCCTGGGATGAGGAGCACGGAGGTTGGGTGCCGTCTGCTGGCAGCACAGGCAGGCGTGGGATCCGGCTGCTTCTGTGTGTGCAGTCCGTGGTCACTGTGGCCAGGGTGTACTCGGGGCTGTCAGGCCCCCCGTGTGGCTGCCCCGAGGACGTCCTCTCCCTGCTGGCAAGACTAGGGCTCCCCCTCTCTGTCCTGATCATCCTACAGGAGAAGCGGCATTTATGCCTGGCTTCTGGACGGGAATCCCGGCTTTGGTCCTGCGGTCCTGGCAGGGCCCCGTGGTGGCAGTGGGCTGGATGTTGCAGGTTGGCTTCCTGTCTTGGTGCTCACTCGGGGAGGGGGCATCTGGATTCTTGAGCCCCTAGGCAAGACAGAGGAAGGTGTGCAGTGTCTCCTGAGTGGCCTTCGTGTGTCTGTCGCCCGCTGCCTGGCATGGGCCCTGTCTGGGCGGCCAGCCCTGGCCTGTGGGAGCTGCCTGCAGGGACCCAGCCTGGGAAGGGGCTTGCTCCTGTGTGCCTGCAGGGACCTTGTGCATAGAGGCGCCACATTTAGCACAGAAAAGTACAGGACGCCCAGGCAAATTTGAGTTTCAGATAAACAGAAATTTCTTAGTGTAAGTATGTCCCAAATATGGCCTGAGACATGCTTATCCCAGAAGATTCTTATCTGACGATCATAGTTAATCTGGGCATCCCACATTTTAGCTGGCAGGCTGCTCCAAGGCCCTGCCAGGTCGGGCTCGCTAGGGGAAGGTGTGGCGGCCACAGCAGTTTTGTGCCAGCTGAGCTGGCTGAAGCAGTGAGCCGGCAGGGAACAGGGCCTGTTTCTTCCTCGCGGAGTGCCCTGGCCACAGACTGAGGCCTGTGTCTGTGCCTGGGCAAGGGTGGCGGCGTCAGGGTTCCCTGACCTCTGTTCCTCAGGGGTCGTCAGTCCCAAGGGCTGAGGAAGGCTTGGAGCCTGCTGTGGGAAGAGGGGCCCCAGGGCGCGGGCGGAGTGTTTCTTCTGTGAGTGGAGCATGAAGATGTGAGATAGCCTGCAGAACAGGACAGCGGATGTCAGTGCCAGTGAGCGGCTGCGTCTGTTCACGCGGGGCCCTGCGTTTCGGCGCGCAGGCCAGCACTGTTTCTTTTCTTCCTTGCGAGGGGTTCGCGCGCCGTCTTTTGGGGTTTATTTATTTTTGGAGGTGTCTTGCTCTGTTGCCCAGGCTGGAGTGCAGTGGCTCGATCTTGGCTCACTGCAACCTCTGCCTCCTGGGTTCAGGAGATTCTCCGGCCTCCGTAGCTGGGACTACAGGCGCCTGCCACCACGTCCTGCTAATTTCTGCATTTTTAGAAGAGACAGGGATTTCACCATGTTGGCTAGGCTGGTCTCGAACTCCTGACCTCATGATCTGCCCTTCTCGGCCTCCCAAAGTGCTGGGATTACAGGCGTGAGCCATCATACCTGGGCTTTTTGTTTTATTTTATTTATTTTGAGACAGAGTTTTGTTCTTGTTGCACAGGCTGGAGTGTAATGGTGTGATCTCAGCTCACCGCAAAAAGTGTTGGGATTAGGCATGAGCCACCATGCCCAGCTGTTTTAATTTAAATATAGGTCAAGGTTGGGTGCGGTGGCTTACGCCTGTAATCCCAGCACTTTGGGAGGCTGAGGCAGGTGAATCACTTGAGGTTGGGAGTTCAAGACCAGCCTGGCCAACATAGTGAAACCCCATCTCTACTAAAAATGTAAAAATTAGCCGGGGATGGTGGTGCACGCCTGTGGTCCCAGCTACTCAGGAGGCTGAGGCAGGAAAATCACCTGAGCCTGGGAGGTGGAGGTTGCGGTCAGCTGAGATTGTGCCACTGCACTCCTGCCTGGGTGACAGTGCTAGACTCCCATCTCAAAAAAAAAAAAAATTTAATGTAGGTTGAAAAGATGGCACAAAGCGTCTGCCCAGCAGGGCCGGGGGTGCTGTCCCGGTATCTGTGCGGTCTGCATGGAAGCGCCCGTCCCTGCGGCTGGTCTTCACTGGGCTTGGGGGTGCCATCACCTGCGTGCTGTCGGAAATGCCACTTTTGCTTTTTTGTTCTAGTGAGTTTAAGCTTCACTGCTCCATATACTTGCCAGTGGGGGAAAAAGTAAACTTAAAAAAAGCTTCTGATTTGTAAAGGACTACAGCCAGTACCCCACCCTGAGTACTGGGTGCATGCAGTCCCTGGGCACCTGCTGCCCCTTGGGCTGACTTCTGGGGTCCCGCCCATCTTTTTCCAAGAAGGCAGGGAAGATCCCTGGAGACTGCCATCCCTGAGAGCAGGATGTAGAAGTAGCTGGGGCCCAGGCATGGGGCTGTCCCGCTTGGCCTATGAGGATCGGCCTGAGCACTGTGGCCCTGGCTCACTCTCCAGCAGGGCGGGCTCCTGGGACCCTCCTGCTTCACCCACTGAGCACTCCTGCCTTGCTCCAGGGCGGGCTCCTGGGACCCTCCTGCCTCACCCACTGAGCACTCCTGCCTTGCTCCAGGGTGGGCCCTGGGACCCACCTGCCTCACCCACTGAGCACTCCTGCCTTGCTCCAGGGCGGGCTCCTGGGACCCTCCTGCCTCACCCACTGAGCACTCCTGCCTTGCTCCAGGGCGGGCTCCTGGGACCCTCCTGCCTCACCCACTGAGCACTCCTGCCTTGCTCCAGGGTGGGCCCTGGGACCCTCCTGCCTCACCCACTGAGCACTCCTGCCTTGCTCCAGGGCGGGCTCCTGGGACCCTCCTGCCTCACCCACTGAGCACTCCTGCCTTGCTCCAGGGCGGGCCCTGGGAACCTCCTGTCTCACCCACTGAGCACTCCTGCCTTGCTCCGGGGTGGGCCCTGGGACCCTCCTGCAGGACCCACTGAGCACTCCTGCCTTGCTCCGGGGTGGGCCCTGGGACCCTCCTGCCTCACCCACTGAGCACTCCTGCCTTGCTCCAGGGTGGGCCCTGGGACCCTCCTGCCTCACCCACTGAGCACTCCTGCCTTGCTCCAGGGTGGGCCCTGGGACCCTCCTGCCTCACCCACTGAGCACTCCTGCCTTGCTC